AGACGGAGGGGGTGGGGGCGGGGGGGGCGGCGGCGATGTTCGAGGACGCGTGTTGGTTGCGCGCGCGAGAGTTGCGAACGCGCGCGGACGCGCGCGGGCGAAGCGCGCCGACGCGGGCGAACGAGGAGATCGAGGCGGCGGAAGCGCTCGAACGCGAGGCGCACTCGTGGTCGCTGATATACCATCTCTTGGGAGACGGCGCGACGGTGGAGCGAGAGAGCGCTGGGCGGGAGATTGAGATTTTGAGCGCGACGCCGAGAGAGGAGGGCGGAGCGCGCGGTGACTTTTTACCCCCGCCATTGCGAAGTCGCGTGAGATGCGCGTCGCGAGACGAGGACGGGGACCCGGTGACGTTTAGATTGAATAGAATGATCGCCTGGCTCGAGGCGAACGCGGCGTCGGCGCTTCGACGGGCGGAGCTGGATGGGACGGCGTACGACGGCAGATTTTTGCGAGACGAGTGCGATTGGCGAACCACCGCGGATGCGATCGATGCCTCGGCGAGATGCGATCCGGATGGTAATCCATTGTCGACATCACTCGATCCGGATGGGCCGATGCGCACGAAGTCGGCGCTTCATCCGTCCAACGCGGACGCCGAGGTTCGATTGTGCAAGCGTCTGTGGAAGCTCGTTCGCGCGGGTCGCGTGCAGGAGGCGCGTGATTTATGTTCCAAGGTTGGCCAGCACTGGCGCGCGGCGTCTCTCGGTGGTGCCTCGGGCTGGGGACCCGCCCCGGTTGGACTCACCGCGGACGAAGAGCTCGAGCGGGACATTCGCCAACTCTTGGCACTTCGCGATCGAGACGCGCTCGAGGCACAAAACGAAGTCGACCTGAACGATGACGCGTGCGCGGCGGAGTGTGACGGCGTGGGGGCGTCGCATCGCGCGCTGTGGAAGTGGACGTGCATGGTGGCGGCGCGACACATCGAAAAGTCGGGCAAGAACGCGGGTTCACAGGCGGCCAAGTACGAGGCAAGCGTGTACGGAGCTTTGTGCGGGGATTTACAAACCGTCCTCGCCGTATGCGAGGGCGACTGGGAATCCACGGCTTGGGCATACGCGCGCGCGTTGTTCGATCTTCGCGTCGACGCGGTGATCAACACCGGTAAGGCGCTCGATGAGGTCGCAAACTTTGAAGTAGGGCACGTCGTACGAGATCCCACGGAGCTCGAAGATGCGACGGACGAAGCGGTAGAACGCCTGGGGGAGCCTCGCTGGCCCACTCGCGACGTCATCAACGCCACGCCAAAATCAATTGAAGAGATACTCCTCGTGAGAATGTCCGAGGCATTTCCCGAGGCAGATCCGCATCGCACCGTGCAGACGCACCTCATCCTCGGCAAGACAAAGGAGTTACTGCTCGAGCATATGTTGAAGTGGATCTTTCCCGAGCAAGAGCTCGAACAGAACGACGAGCGTGCGAGCTTGAAACCGCTTGATCCCGGTCTCACGCGCTTCGTCGCGCACGCGCTGCTCTTCTTAGAATCCTTGTTAGATGAGGGCGGCGGGTTGTCTCCAGGGGGCGAGCTCTATTACCACTTGAACAAGGTGCTCAGTCTGTACGTTGTGCACTTGATCGCGAACAAGAGGTACGCTTTGGTGCCGGCGTACGCGGTTCACTTGCGCCATCCGCTTCTCATTGAGGTGTACGCCAATTTCTTGGATCTCCTCGCTCCCGCGGTGATCTCTCGCAAGACACTGTGCTACGCCGAGGCGTCTCTGTGGATGGAGATGGACGGCCCGGGTGGTTGGAGAGAGATCATCGCTCGAGCTTTAAACGACTCTGTGAGTCTTGAAAACGTTCATCGAGGGCCAGAATATCGTCAATTGATGCTTCAGTGGGCGTGCGTGGCGACGGAGACCTACCCCGAAGCTGCGAGGCAAGCGTGCTTACTGCTTCGCCAGTTGATGTGCCAGAGGACATCCGTGAATGTCTTCGCGAACGACGGAGCCGTGGACGGCGAGCTGAGGGCGCGCGCAATTCTGCTCGAAGAACTTGCGGAGGGGGTTCAAGAGCAAGCAACGGCGAACGGCGCGGCGGGATCCGCTGCGGAACTCGGCGACTGGGCGCGATACCTCGCTGTGACAGAGGCTATTTCCAACTGGCGACGAGTGTGGAGCGTAAACGAGTCGCAGCGCCTGGAAGTCTCCGCACAGAATACGCGTCCGTATCCACCAGATACCATGCAAGAGATCACGGGTGATGAACTGGAGTTGGCAAATGCCGCCGTGGACGCCGCCCTCGCGTTGGTTCACTCCAACAATTGGTTGGACGACGAAGCCTTGTACGAACCGGGCGACATGATGGGAGAGGCAAGCTCCGCTTCGCTTCGCGTCGTCGCGATTCCCGTGATCAAATCATTCGAGGGCGAACAAATGACCACTTCTTGGGACGTCGAGGAAGTCGCCAGAGATCTCGAGACGTTGATCAGTTCGAAGTTCGCGCAGGGTGCGGTTTCCGTCAGCGCGACGAGAGGCATTGAACGCGGCGAGTGCCCGATGCGCGAAGAAGGCGAGCACGGTCAAATCGTGGTCCAAATAGCGTCCGATGCCACTGATGGCGGTGTCGCAAGTCTGTTCCAAGACATCGCTCTCGCCATGGCGGATTGCGCCAAGGGTGACCTGCCCGGTCAAGAGTTCACGCTCGATATTCAGTCTGTCAACGGAAGCAGCGAGGCGTTGGTGCACACTTTCTGTCGAGCGATTTGTATCCCATCCTTGATGATTCAAGCGGCTCAAGTCGAGGCGGCTATGCGAACCGGATCGACGCAAATAATCGAAACGACCGCTGATCCAAAGCGGGGTGTCCACAAGTACTTCTCCGCGACGGAACTGCGTTGGTTGATCGAATTAGGGAGAGAAATCGGATTGACGAATTTGGCAAAGGCTCACTAGGACTAATAACCACGAATACAGCTAACCGCTAAAATAGGTTGAAATGAAAGCGAGTTATCCCTCTCGCTTCCTCTTCTTTTCCTTCTTCACTTTTCTACGCGACTCGTGCGCGTCCTTTGCGCGGAAACGTAACTCGAAAATCTCGCACTCGTCGTCCTCAGCAAAGGAGAACTGGTCCTTGCTCACTTTCTTCACCTCGAAAACCTTCCCAGCCATCTTCACGAACCTTCTATGCGCATCTGGACTCCTTTTTTGAATGCAAATGTAACACACGCTCGGGCAATCCTTCGACAAGCACCGCTCGACGCACCGCAGCAACGGTCCCACGAGCCGTTTGGAGAACACCACATCCGTCCCGAAAACCACTTCGTACGGCCCCGATTTCACCACATCATCCAACTCCTCTTCATTTTCCCAATTCAACGCCATCACGCGAGCCTTTTCGACCCCGACGACGTCTCGGTTCCGCTCCACGTTTCGTTCCGTCACCGCGCTCAACGCCTCTCGCGTATCCGTGAGCACCACCTCCTCGAACCCAAACTCTTTCGCCGCGCAGAGGCCCAGCAACCCGCATCCGCTTCCAAGCTCTAGCGCCTTACCCCCTCGACGATCGCCGAACGTCGAGAAACGTCGCAGATACGCGATCAAAGCGAACGCGCTCTCCCAACAAATGCCCGCACAGGAAGATTCGATTTCATTATTTTGTTCAATCGTGAGCTCGTCGAAGGCGAATAAGCGAGCGTTGGCGATGGTGAAGAATGCGCCTTGACCTTCCTCTTCGATGAGCTCGGCGTATCGCGGGATCGCCGAGTCTTTAGAGGGCATGGGGTGAAGTGCGGCCGGTGTCGGTTGGAGCGCTGTCCGCGTGTTCATGGGCGTGTTCTAAAGATGCTATTAAAAAATAATTCTCGGCGCATCGCGGGGCTACATTTGATCGATTTCTGGGGTGTCCTCTTCCTCCGCGTACGCTTGAGTCTCGATGTCGGTGTCCGTCTCGGTGAGGAACTCTTTGTGCGCGGACGGACTGTCGTCGTTCCCGCCGTGGGAATCGATGATGTCTTTCCAAGGAGGGATATCAGACGCATCTTGGCAGTAGAGCTCGCCGTTTTTGATGATGAGCGATGCGTCCGGGCTCGAAGTGGCGCCGCCCACGGCGACGGCACGCATGTCGCCCTCGGCGGTGATCTCGACGACGGGCTTTGTGAAATCGAGCGCTCGATCAAACATGTGCTCCTCACTCGGGGCGTTGCGCGCGAACACGAGGTAAATCTTGGTCGTCTTTTCCGTCGTTGTGTTGAAGCTCGGAATTGGATCGGCACCGTCGAAATCCTCCTCGTTGGATACCCTCACCTCGGTCCAGTTGATCTCTTGGTAATACGCCGGAGGGAGCGACATGAACTCCGCGGTGTTGACGCGCTGCGCGTCCTCGATGAAGCGACCGATGGAGTTTCTTCTCGCGCTGTATACCTCACGAAGGTCTAGTCGACCGTCATTTGTCTTGAACACTATGAAATCGACGCCATCGAGTGCCAAGACGTGATAGCTCTCCGCGGGCTTGGGTAAGCCGTTAGGCGAGACTTCGCGCAGGTCGACGAGGGCGCCGTCGGTCTCAGTCGGCGTCGCCTTCGAAAGATCCGGGAAATCTTTGGGGCCGCGGTACATATCGTCACGAGCGATCCCGAGCTCGCGCTTGAGATCATCATCGTTGAATTCGTCCTCGACGAAGGACAAATAGCCAGCCGAGCGAGAGTACATCGCCTCGGTTTGAGTAAACTCACCCAATGATGACGGGTAACCGTCATCGATCGGTTCCGCGCCCGGTGGGAAGGACGAAGTATCGTCCATCCTGAAATCGGGCATCGCCGGCACGTAGTCCGTCTGAGCTCTCCTGGACACGTCCTTCCACTGCGCGACGGAGTCAGCCGTGGAATCAACGGCGATTTCCTCCGCTTCTTCGTCTTCGTCCTCATCCTCGTCTTCATCCTCGACTTCGACGTACACCGTGCCCTCTTCGGAGTCATCATATGAGTCAGACTGCGGCGACACCGCGGTCTTGGTCCCCGACGACGCGATGTCCGCGAGGTGCAGAAAGTCTGCGTCGCTCTTGAGCGCCTCCTTCAACCCCTTGGGCGGCGGCACTGAGTTGACCACGCCCACAAGAGCTCGAAGGACGGTATCGATGGAATTTCCCGCGCACGAACCCTTCCTTCGAATCGCACCAATGCTGAAATACTTCCCTTCCTCGGGCGCCCACAGCATCACCGGCGGCGCGCCTCGTTCGTCGCCTTGGTCGGTCCAGCACACCTTCCAACCTCGACCGATGACGGCAAGCGACGCGTGTGTGCTCGCGGCGGTGATGCGAAGCTCCGTGGCCGCGTCCTCCCACTTTTGTTTGCTCCACGAGGACGAATCGCTCACGTCCATTCCTCTAGATTCGGCCACGGCGGCTACGATGGAGCGCATGACGGTACCCGCGGGACCGTGGAAATCAAAGTTGAGCCCCGCGCGAAAGTATAGATCCATCGGAGTGACGCCATCACCCACAGCCCAAGCGTCGAATATATGCTCCGCTCGTTGTGCGTCGTCATCGCCACCCGCGCCGCCGCCCTTGGCCGCTTGCTTCGCTTCCGCGGTTTGCCTGAGCAGCGTGTCTTCGTACGCCTCGTACTCGACCACCGTCGCGTCTTCGCTCCCCTTCATGCTCTCGTACACCCCCGCGAAGACTTGATTGATGGTTAAGATCCTCTTTTGACTCTCTAAGATCTCCTCCGGCGTCTTGTGGCTCTCCGCATCCATCTCACTCGAGCCCATTCCGCCCGCCCGAACGTCCGCTTCGAAATAAAACTTCCTCGTCGCCGCGCAATAAAACATCACCACCGCCCGTTTCGCCCCTCCCCGAACCGCACTCGCGCTCGCCCAACACACGCGATATCCCCTACATCCCGGCAACGGCGTGTGCGAATCGACCCACGCGATCGGCGCCTGCGCGCTCGCCTCGTCCCATCGCGCTTTTCGCCAATTCGATATCCCTCGCAGTTTATTCCCTTGCGCCGCGTGCGCGCGCTTGATCACCGTCCGTCCCTCCGGGGACGAGGGCGTGATAAAGTTCCACACCACCCCGAGCTCGCGCCAGGTCTCCAGCGCGCTCCATCCTCGATGTCCTCCCGTCGTCGGCCCCCCGACGCCGTCCGTCCATTCCCGTCCCGACCCCCCCCGCGCGCCGTCATCGCTCGCGCGTCGTCCCACGCGCGACGCGCGTGTTCCCACGCGCGAGAGCCGTCGCGCGCGCGTCGTCGCGCGCGTCGCCGTCGTCGCGCGCGCGCGAGACGCCATCGTCGCGCGATGGAATCGCGCGCGACGACGGCGGCGGCGCGAGGTTTCCACGTCGACATCACACATACCGTTCAATGGGTCCACGATACGGGTCAGAATACCGTATCGTGCGCCGCGTATCGCCGTGTGCGGCGTCGTGGACACACGCGGGGACCATATAGGCTTCAACGCGCGTGGTACACGATGTACGTAACCGTATTGAGAGGTGTCAGTTCGCTGTGTGCGCGCGCACAGTGCGCGATCGCGTCGACGGCGACGACGCGCGCGCGCGACGGCGTGGGAACACGCGCGCGCGCGGCGATGCGGGGGCGAACGACGTGTGCGTCGCGCGCGGGCGCGTCGCGGACGTCCCCGGGGGCGCGCGCGCGCGGGACGGCGATCGAGCGAAATCGATCGCGCGCGGTGATCGATCGCGCGCGATGGGCGACCGCGCGCGCGTGGACGCGAGGGAATCGCGCGCGGGGGCGATCGCGCGCGATCGATGGGGGTGAGCGGTGTTACGACGAGCCGGAGATGTACGCGTGCGCGTTCGGGTTCAGGGATTTCGAGGCGGAGGTGACGTTCTTGGACGCGTGCGCGCGGCGACACGGGACGCACGCGGGCGAGGCGGGTGAGGGGGAAGGGATGACGAGCGTGCTGGAACTGGGGGCGGGACCGGCGTGGCACTCGTTGGAGGCGGCGCGGCGAGGGGTGCAGGCGGTGGCGTTGGAGAAGAGCGGGGCGATGCGGGCGCACGCGCGGAACGAGGCGCAGGATATCGGCGCGCGGAACGTGCGAGTGATCGACGGGGACATGCGCGAGATCAATCTGGACCCGATGACGGTGCCGGTGAATGGATTTGATGTGGTGACGATGCTTCTGGGGACGGCGGCGCACTTGCTGACGCATGATGACGCGATTCGGTGCCTGCGCGCGGTGCGGCGAAACTTAAAGCCTGGGGGTATTTTCGTCGTCGAGCTCGAGCATCCTTGGGATCTCTTCAGTGGGGACATTCGCGAGGGCGCGGGCGACGCGTGGGATCGTGAGGACGAGGAGAGAGGGGTGAAAGTTTTCGTCGAGTGGGGTCGAGACGGCGATAACTTTGACATCGAGACTCAAATTTACGAGCGCACCGTGTCCTTCTCACTCGTCTCTCTCGCCACGAACGAAGTCATCAAGATCGTCGAGGATGTCGTTCCGTGCAAAATATTCACCGCGCCCGAGTTTATCGCCCTCGCGAGCGCCGCGGGATTAACATCCGTCGCGGTGTACGGAGACATGGACGTGCGCGTCGCGCTCGACGACGAAAACGCGCACAACATGGTCATGGTTTTCCGCCGTGAACACGAATAGCTAAACGTACACGGCGGTCATCACTCTGTATCAATACCTCTTTTGCTTTATTTTCACTCTTCTCCCGCGTCTTCTCGCGCGTGCGTCGCCGTCGTCTCCGTCTCTGTTCGTCGCGAGCCCTCAGTCTCGCGCTCGCGCTCGCGTCGCGCGTCTCCCTCCCATGGCCGCCATCGCGTGCGCGTGCAGCGCCGCGTGCGTCGGTGCGTCTCGTCATCCATCCATCCCTCCTCGCCCTCGCCCTCGCCGTTCGCCGCGCGGCGCTTCGATCGAACGCATCGACTGACCTCGAAGACCACATTCTCGGTGTGTTTCAACGAATTCCACAGGTGTCCCGCGACGAACCGCCGTCGCCGCCACCGCCGCCGTGGGCGCGATCGGGTCGCTCGTCACCTTGTCGCTCGCCTACCGCGAGCCTCTGAACCGATGCCGATGCGGTGATGCGGCGTCGACCTCCACGGCGGCGGACGCGGAGACGCCGCGCGAAAACCGACGCGCGCGCGGAGGGAAATTCCCCCCGCGAGCGCACTGCGCGCGATGTCGCAAGCGCACGCGATTCGGCGTGACGCTAAGTTTCATCTTTTCGCCGGCGTACGTCGCCGTCGTGAGCGGGACCACGGCGCTCGTCGCGCACGAGTTCGGTCGCCGGTCGCTCGCGCTGTGCAGACGGTTGGCGCGCGGCGCCGCGAAACGCGCTCGACGCGCGCCCACGTTCGACTAGCCCTTCGAATCGCCCGTAGCAATAGCGACGTGTACACAAATAAACTAGCGATGCGATCTCCGTCGTCTGTTTTCGTCCTCCGCGCCGCCGGCGCGCGCGGTTCGGATAACGTCGCGCGCGCGCGCGTTACATCGCGACGTCTCTCGCGCTCATGACCGCGTCGAGATCGATAACCCTCGCCGAGGTCGAGCAACACGTCGCGCACGGTGACCTATGGCTCGTCATCGACGGTAACGTGTACGACGTGAGCGAATACATGGATGATCATCCCGGCGGCGGCGAGATCATGTTAAACGCCGCCGGTAAGGACGGCACGGACGATTTCGAGGACGTTGGACACTCCCCGGGGGCGCGAGAACAACTGAAAAAGTTCCTCATCGGAACGTACGCGGGCGGGGAGTCGACGGTGAAGAATAAGAGCGAGAAGGGGAAGAACGCGCTGACGACGGGCGGCGGAAGCGGAGCGATGACCGTGTTGTTGCCGTTGATCGTGGTTTTGTTGGCCGTTCTCGCGGCGATGATCGGGAAGAAGTGATTGACGTCGGTGACGGCGCTGGTGCGCTCGTGGGCGAGGGGTTTAGGGGAGGCGTCGGTAGCGGGTTTCGGCGACGCGTCGGCGCGGAGCAGAGTCGAAGCGCTCGCGGCGAGCGCTTCGTCTTCGCGCCCGCGACGCGATCGACGACGACGACGAATTGTAATTAATGAATGCGTTTTAAGTATGTCTCACGCCCCGAGCGCTCGCGCCGCGTCGACGCGTCTCTCGCGTTCGCGCGCGCGCGCGCGCTCGCCTCGCGCGTTTCGCGCCGCGCCGACGCCCGCGACCGCACTTCTCGTCGTCCCTCGTCGTCCCCGGCGCGAATCACTTCCGGTGCCATGGACGACGACGCGAGATCGACGCTCGCCTCGAGCGCTCGGGCGCGCGCGGTGGCGCACTTCGGGGTCGGGAACGAGTTGTTGGTGTGCAACCTGGACGGGCGCGGCGCGCGCGAGGCGCCGAGACGCGTCACGTGGTCTGGGTTCAGCGCGAGTAGAGCCGCGCTCGCGACGACGACGTCCGAGGCGCTGTTCGCGATGCGAGATCGAGAGGTACGAGCGAGATGCGACGAGTGCGATGGGAGACGTTGTTGATTGCCTGATTGTCGACGCGCGCTCGGGAGTCAAAGCGTTCGATTCAAACGCGGAGAGACTGACTTTTCGCGGTTATTACGTGCGTGCGCATCAGGCGTCGTCGATGGCGAATGGGACGTATGTTGAGGACGCGTTCGCGACGTTACATGACTTCACGCGCGCGGTGGCAGCGGCGCTGGAGGAGTCGTCGAGCTCGAGCTCTGAGGGACTGGCGAGCGACGAGCACGCGGCGCTGTCCAGAGCGGTGTGGGCGCTCCTGGATGTGTACTTCGTGACTCGGGGTGGGGGATTGGGCGTTAGCACGGATGAGTTCGTGGGATGGTATCGCGATAACGCGGCGAGCTTGGATCTTGGGACGACGAGTGCGAGCAGCCGGTTGCGAGACCTGCTCGACGCGCTCTTCACGTCGACGAGACACGAGGAGGCAGAGGGATACTGGGGCATGATAGTCACTATGACCGCGCTCGGTTGGACCGAGGCTGCGATAGATTTGATGGCGACGCACAGCGCGTGGGCGGAGTGGCGATTGCGGAAGACAAGCGTGCAGCCACAGGTGGAGCTCATGGAGGCGGCGCAGGCGCTTCTTCGCACTATGCCGAAGCTCGGAGCCGACGACGGCGCCGCCGCTGCGAGCGTGCCACAGTACACGTCTTATAGACACGAGTGGTTGCGCCAGGTCAAGGCTGTCCTTGCCGAGGGCGAGCTGTTCAACAACTGTTGGGGTCCGACCGCGGACGGAGTTCGAGACGTACTGCTAGTGCTGTCCGGAGATGAGAGAACGATCGCGTCGAGCGTGGGTAACTGGGTCGAGCTCGCGGTCGCGCAGCTGCAGCACGTTCACCCGACGTTGAAGATTCATGAGCACGAGAGTTTGGCTCGATCGGCCCGTCGCACGAAAGGGCCTCTCGCCGCCGAGGCGCTAGATGCGCTCGTGATGCGCGCCATTGCCGGCGATTCTCAAGGCGTCATCTCGGTGTGCTCGATGCACTTAGATCCGTGGTTCATGGCGTTCTCCACCGTCATGCTCTCACGCGCCGGGGGCGCGCAAGCAGACGTCTTGAGGCGCCCGACGGCTTCTGGTGCAAGCCAAAGCGAGTTGTACATGCTCGAGTACTGCTCCGCGTTAGCGACGTCGGAGGATACACGAGCGTTGGCGGTCAAAATTCTCGCTGCTACGTGTCCGCAGCGGGGTGCCGAGATGATGGCCACCGCGCTCATGCGTCTCGCCGTCGTGGAAGATGAACAAGAGACAGAAGACGACGCTCCGGCGAAGGCTGCACACGCGCTCGCAGTCGAAGTGAGCCTTCCAAACACGAGCGCACGCATCGCGAAGATGGCTAGCGAACGCGCGCGGGCGCACGGATACGTTTCCTTGGCATTCGATTGGCTTCGACAATCACAGGACGCGATCGCGAGCGACGCGCTCGCGCGAGGGTTCGTGCGAGTCGGTGAGAACGGCGGCGCTGCCGCGGCACTCGAGCGCGTGGACAAGTTCATGTCCAAGCATGGATCCATCGTTCTTGCGCCAACGGATTGCGAGGAACTTGGTGTTCACGAAAATACAGTGGACTTCTATCGCGAGCGCGCCAAGTTTAACGCGGCGATGAAGACGCTCAGAGCGTCGACGGCGTCCGATCCAGGCGCGCGCGCCGCGGCCAAATCCGCCGCCGATGCCCTCATCGCCGCTCTTGCCCCTCGCTCAACGCCGTCCGAGCTTTGGATCGAACTCATCGTCGACGCCATTCCGCTCTTCGAGAGCGCGTTTGCGGCGACGGAGCTCTTCGATCGAGACGCGTGTCGTCTCCTCTCCGCGCGCGCGCGCTTCGCCGCCGACCTCTCCGGCGCGGATTCCGCGAGCGCCTTACACGCCGCTTCCGCGCGTCCGTCCGATGCGGTCAACGCCAACGATCTTAGCGTCGCCACCGCCTCGCTCGCCGTCGCCAGGCTCACCACGCGCGTCGCCCTCGACTGATTCCGCGCGCCGCGGCGCGCGATTTCGGGTGCTTTGAAACCATAAAAATACCCAATCCCATATTTATCCCCATACGTACCCCATGAGACACTAAAAATCACCGCCCACCGCGCACGGGGGAACGACTCGAACAGACACTTTCACTCGAGCGCGGTCGATCGCCCCACACGTCGACGCCGCACCCGCTCGCGATCGACCCACCGCCGCCTCGATCGCGCGTTCGGTCCGTCATCGACGCCTCGACGCGCGTCTCGTTCTCGCCACCGCGCGCGCCGGCGCGTCGACGCGCGTCGACGGCGAACACGCATCGCAGGGGACCGAACGCCCGTTCGTTCGTACGCGCGACTGACGAGGCGTCTCGGACGCGCGCGCGCGCAGTGTCTCTCCGGCGCGCGATCGAGCGAGGGAAGATGAACGAAAACGCCACGCGCGGGCGAAATGTCCCGCACGGGACGAAAGAGGGTGCGCGCGAGCGATGCGATCGCGTCGAGACGATGATGTCACATTTCGGTGTCGACGCACGGGAACGAAGGTTTTTTTGGGTGGAAATGTGACTGACGACGAGGTTTGTGCGACGACGTAGGGGCGCGAAGCGGTGTGTTCGCCCCGGCGGGGGGGCGGGCGGCGCTTTCGAACATCGGGAACATGATCACAGGGGCGCAGGGCGTGAGACAGACGCGGTCTAAGACGACGTACGTAGAGCAAAGCGCGCGCGGATACACGCTGTGCGGATACCGATGAAACAGAGAGCGGGTGATTGACGATGAAATTTCCTCACTATGACGCAGTCTGAACGAAGCCAAGGAGGTGCCGCAACAACAGCAGCAACAGAGCTTCGAATGGGGCCGGACGTCCCAAAGAACGAGTCACGGGAAGCCGCGTCGCGGAAGTGTCATGGGTGGCACGATGACGACCGCGGGCGCGGATGTGGACATGCGCGAGTCGTACTCGACGTACCTCGAGCGTAGTTCCGCCGCGGATGTCATGACGGACGCGCTGCCAGATATCGATCTTTATGACCACGACAATCCGCTCGCGGTCACGCAGTATGTGAACGACATTTATCAGTACTGGTACAAGGTTGAGGTGAGTACCCCGAAAGCAACGGCTAGCCGTTGGTGGCACTAGCGCGCACGCGCAAGTCTTCGATACGTCTCGACCCCGCATGAGCGCTGTGCATTACGATGTCTATCGTGATAAATCATTATACTGACCGCATCCGCGCTTTTTTGCGCCGTCGCAGCCCGATACGCGAGTCTCTGAGACGTACATGCTCATTCAAGGTGACATCAACTACAAGATGCGCGCAATCTTGATCGATTGGCTTGTCGAGGTCCATCTCAAGTTCAAGCTCATGCCAGAGACGTTGTTCCTCACGACAAATCTTATCGACCGATTTCTAGAGCTCAAAACGGTGACTCGTAGGAACTTGCAACTCGTGGGCGTCACAGCGATGCTCGTGGCGAGCAAGTATGAAGAAATCTGGGCGCCCGAGGTTCGAGACTTTGTCTACATCAGTGATCGGGCGTACACGCGACAACAGATTCTGGAGATGGAGAAGCAAATGTTAAATACGCTGGGGTTCCATCTCACTGTTCCGACGCCGTACTGCTTCTTGAACCGCTTCTTCAAGGCTGCCGGCGGCGACCGTCAGTTTCAGTTGTACGCGTCGTATGCGGTCGAGTGCGCGCTCCCGGAATACGGTATGCTGAAATATTCGGGCAGCACTCTGGCCGCCGCTGGAGTGTATATTGCGATCAGAGGTCTTCAAACGGGATCGTGGAATCACACCATGGAGGCGCACACTCGCTTGTCTGAGTCTGAAGTTTATCCGTGCGCGTGCGACATGGCTGAGCTCATGCGCAAGGCGCCCACGGCAACGCTCACCGCTGTTTACAAGAAGTACAGCAGCGAAAAGTTCATGAAGATTGCGACACTACCGGTGCCGCACGACCTTCGGCTGTGACGGCGAAGTCGTGGGCTCTAGCTTGCAAAGGGGGTGTTTGCGCATGCTGCGCCGAGACGACGTGTCCATAGATACGTGCGTCGCGTAGTCATGCGCCTGGATTGAGTCGATCGGCGCGCTTTTCGATCGAGTCAAGTAGCCGTCTCGCACGTCGAGACGTTCTTTCTGATCATCACGCACACGTTCACGGATAACCGGAGTTGTTCCAGTGTAATACTAGTCTCTAATCACAATCCAACCTTGCTAATTAACCGGACGCGTCGAGGCTATCTCGTTCTCGATTTCTACCCTATGCGCGTCGTATACATCAGCCCTCGAGAATTTTCCCATCATGTTTATGGGAATTTCGTTCGTGAACAAGATGTACTTGGGAATCTTGAATCGTGCGAGTCGCGAGTCGCGGCACCACTCGAGTACGGTCGGTCGCGCCTCGTCTACAGACAAACTCGTACCTTGGCGAAGTTTCACGATCGCCACGACGGTCTCTCCCCATTTTTCGTGTGGAGCACCGACGACCACAGACGTGTGCACGTCCTCGTGCGCGTTGATCACTCCCTCGACTTCCTCAGGGGAGACGTTCTCCCCGCCGGTCTTGATCACGGCCTTAGCGCGCCCGTAAAGCCAAACTCTGGGACCGGTACACGCGCTGGAGGTCTCCGCGGGGGCGACTCTGCCGAGATCTCCCGTCGCGAACCACCCGTCTGCGTCGAAAGTCGTTGATTTGTCGACGCCGTGGTAGCCGAGCATCACTATCGGTCCGCGCACGTGGAGTTCTCCGTTGGCGTCCGCGCGCACCTCCACGTCCCGCACCGCTTGCCCGGCAAACGTTGGGTCTTCCACGAGACGTCCATCCTCGGGATCGAGAAACGTCACGCTTGATGTCGTCTCAGACATCCCGTACGCCATGGTGACCTTGGCGTTCGGAAAGACGCGACGAATTGCCTCGTACTGACCTCGAAGCAGTCTGCCCGCTCCCACGAGAATTTTCCGCACCGAATCAAACACCCGCTCGCCCGCCGCGTCGACGAGCATCGCCATCATCGTTGGAACCGCGATAAATGCGGTGACGCCCGACCGCTCGATCGCGCCCAACGCGCGCTCAGCGTCAAAACTACGCATGAACACATGACTCGCTCCCGCCGACATCGATGCGTGCGCGCTCGAGAGTCCGCCGACGTGATACAAAGGCGCGCAGTGCATGTACACGTCCGAGCGCTCGTACCCGACGACCTCAATCTTCGCCCTCGTCGCCGCGAGCACGCCCTCGTGCGTGAGCACCGCCGCCTTGGCCGCGCCCGTGGTCCCGCTCGTGAAGCAATACGCGCACGCTCCGTCTTCGCGCGCCTTCTCCATCTCCTCGCTTCCAACCTCCGACGTTCTTTCCACCGCATCATCGACGTCAATGATGTTCGCACACCCATCGAACGCGTCTCTTCCCCACATCTCGAAGTGTTTCGCGTCCACCATCGCGCACGCCGCGTCGCACCGTCCCGCCGCCTCCGTCGCCTCCGTCGCCGTCCATCGCGAATTCAACCCCACGGCGACCCCTCCCGCGACGTCGATCGCGAGATAACACGCCAACGCCGACGCCGACGTCTCGCACGCGACGCACACGACGTTCGACCCTCGACGCGCCCGCAACGTCGCGCGAATCACTCGCGAGAGCGCGATGACGCGTTCGACGAATCGCGCCCCGTCGAGCGTCTCGTCGTCGGTGACGAAGCGCGCCGCGCTCGCGACGCCGTCCCGAGCGTACAGTTCCAGTGGCTTCGCGGCGAACCGGGCGGGCATGACCGCGCGCGGCGCGATGCCGCGCGCTCGAGACGCGCGCGTGCGACGCGAGCCCTGAGGGTGGAAAAAACGCTCGAAAAAACGGTTTTCGCAACCGACGGCGCGACCGCACACGCGCGCGCGCGGCTCGGAGACGCGAACGCGGACGATGCGGGAGCGGGTGGAAAATACCCCGACCGCGGGACGACGGGTGACGTCGAGGGCGGAGTACGTGGCGATTCGGGACGCGGCGAAGGAGATGGCGAAGAAGGAACGGTGGATGGATGCCTACTTGCACTTCACGGTGTGCGTGAGCGATCGCGCGCACGCGTCGATCGAAGAGGACGATCTCGTGACGTCGCTGTTGAATCGGTCGTTGATGGCGCTGAAGATGGACGATTACGAGGGGGCGCGGGCGGACGCGACGGGGGCGCTGGAGGCGCTTCGCGCGTTGGACGCGTACAGTCATTTGGATGATGGTAAACGACGAGACGCGCGGGCGCGGTTGACGGTGAAAGCGTTGTACAGACTCGGCTCGGCGTGCGTGGGGACGGGCGATATCATAGACGCGATCGATCCTCTGCTCAGGGCGCGGATGATGGCGCCGAGAGACGGTGACGTGGAGAAGAAGTTATTGGAGTGCGCGCGCTTGGCTCGAATGGTAGACGTGTGCGAGCTCTTCGCCGGGGCTATCTCCGAGGGCGAGAGCGCGAACGCGGTGTCGCCGCGAGATGGAAAGTGGCTGAAACCGGTGCGACCGGAGTCGGCACGTTTGAGTCGAAGTGCGATGGCGCAGACACTTGCGGATTGCGTCGTCGGTGTCGAGTCTCGCTGGCGCTTGGAATTCGGCGAAACGTTTCTCCTCGCCACCGGCTCGAACGAGAAGATGAGCGTGATGCGACGCGGTTTCTTGAGTGGCATTCGCGCCGAGGTGTACGCACGCACGGGAAATCACGAGCAAGCGGTGAAGGATTATCGCGTCGCGCTCGCGTACTATCCCGACTGGGCGCGTGCGTACTACGGCTACGCGCTGTCAATCGAGCACCAGCTCGTCCGCAACAACGTTTCGCGCGTCGAGGTGGCCAGCTTGACACAACGCGGCGGGTACAGTGATGCACTCATCGTCGACGCCCCCGTCGCCGCGGCGTTATGGATGAAGAAAGCGCTCGAGCTGGACGGATCCGTCGAGGAGCACGAACGTGAATACGTCCGTCTCGCCTCAAAGCTCTCGAGCGAGCTCCGTGACGTGCTCGCCCGCGATGGAACCGGCGTCGCCGACGCCCTCAAGTGGCTCGATGAGGACAAGTGGGAGAACGCCCCGGAGTACATTCGCCCTCGTCCGAAGTATTACTACTTCTACGAGATGATGAAAGAGCGCATATACGAGCACTACCCCGAGCTCCCGCAACCGGTGATGGACAAGCTTCTGTCGCTCGACGCGGGCGAGCTGGACCTCTTACTTCAGTACCCGAGAGCGATCAAGGGCCAAACCGAGGAGTTCTTGGACGTGTATAATCGCGAGGGCGGGGAGTATCTCGCGACGTACAAGACGCCGACGCTCACCTGGAACGAGGTCAAGGCGCTCAAGGGCGCCGGGACCCAAGGCTTGCTCCCCGACGGCGGCGTCAATCAATTCGCCGCCACCGAGGCCGAGCGCGTCGATCCGGGATCGGGATTCATCACCGAAAAAGACACCGATCACGCCGCCCTCGGCGCTTCGGGCGCGGACGGGCTCACGATCGCCGAGCTCGCCGGGGCGCCCGTTCCCGCGTCGCTCCCGCCCGACCAAATCCGCGACCTCCAGGCGCGTCTTCCCAGCACCGCCCGCGTCGGCTCTCTCCCACCGGCGACGCCGAAGAATTCGCTCCCAAATCTCCAACGTCGCATCGACGCCCTCTTGGACGCCGATCACGTCTCCGATCGCGCGTCACCATCGTCCGCGTCGTCGTCCTCCGTATTGTAGACGACCCGGACCCTCCAAAACCTCCTCGACCAGGGCAACGCCGCCGCCGACGCTTTTTCGCACTCAGCGCCGCGCCGCGCGCGCCTCTCGCCGCGCTCGCTCGCTCGCTCGACGCCCCGAACGCTCGCGCGCGCGTGAGGTTGTCGTCGTCGCCTCGAGCGCGTCCGGGACCGCGCGGCGACGCGCACGGCGGCGTCAACGCGCGATGGGCGCGGCGGTGAAGGATTCGTCGTCGAAGAAAACGTCCGGGAAATCGCGACGCTCGGACGTCGGCGGCGATACCGACGCCATGGGGTGTCTCACGAGAGACCCGTCCAAGGTGACGTCGCCGATCGGGACGCTGGAGGATAAGTTTGAGCTCCTGCCGGCGTTCTTAAAGGTCAGAGGGCTGGTGCGGCAGCACATCGACTCGTTCAACTACCTGGTGAACGAGGAGATAAAAAAGATCGTGCGGGCGAAGGCGAACGAACGGGTGACGTGCGATAGCGATCCGAACTTTTATCTCAAGTATACGAACATTCACGTCGGACGGCCGAGCGTGGAGGAGGATTACGTCGTGGAGGAGATCACGCCGCAGCAGTGTCGTCTGCGGGACATGACGTACGCGGCGCCGATCACGGTGGACGTGGAGTACACGAGGGGGAAGGAGATTGTGACAAGACAACAGAAGAACGGGGTCGGTGGAATCGTGATTGGGAGGATTCCATTGATGCTTCGAAGCTCTCGATGCGTTTTGACGGGGAAGAATGAGGAGGAGTTGGCTCGATTGGGAGAATGTCCGCTAGATCCAGGCGGATACTTCATCGTCAAGGGCGTAGAGAAGGTGATTTTGATCCAGGAACAGTTGAGCAAGAATAGAATTATCATAGATGTTGACAACAAGGGCGAGATCGGAGCTTCCGTCACGTCGTCGACGCACGAGCGGAAGAGTAAGACGAACATCGTGGTGAAACACGGTAAGTTGTACCTCAGGCACAATACATTCGCCGATGATATTTCAATCATGATTGTCCTCAAGGCGATGGGCATGGAGAGCGACCAAGAGGCGGTGCACATGATCGGCTCAGATCCCACTTACGCGATGCTTCTCGCGCCGACGTTACAGGAGTGCCACGCCAGCGGGATTTTCACCATGCAACAGGCTTTGGAGTACTGCGCCTCAAAGGTGCGCGTGGTGAAAATGCAATCGCCTCGCACTCAAATCGGAGGAGCGCGAACTTACGGCCGTTCTCGAATCGACGAGGCGCGTGATATTCTTGCGGGCGTCGTTCTTGCCCACGTGCCCGTGGTCGCTTACGATTTCAGGCAAAAGTGCGCGTACATTTCCATCATGGTTCGACGGATTCTCAACGCGTTGCTCGATCCCACGCAAGTGGACGACAAGGACTACTACGGTAACAAGCGCCTCGAGCTCGCCGGTCAGCTCATCGCGCTTCTATTTGAAGATTGTTTCAAGAGATTGAACGCCGATTTGAAGCGTCAAGCGGACGCTGTGTTGTCCAAGGCGAATCGAGCGACGCAGTTTGACATTCTCAAATGCATTAGACAGGATACCCTGAGCAACGGCTTAGAACACGCAATTTCGAGCGGAAACTGGACGGTTAAACGTTTCAGAATGGAACGTAAGGGTGTCACGCAAGTGCTGAGTCGATTGAGCTTCATCAGCGCTTTGGGTATGATGACTCGCATCACGTCTCAGTTCGAGAAGACCCGAAAGGTATCTGGTCCGCGCGCTTTGCAGCCGAGTCAATGGGGAATGCTGTGCCCGAGCGATACACCGGAAGGGGAGTCGTGCGGCCTGGTGAAAAACTTAGCGTTGATGACGCACGTCACTACGGACGACGAAGAAGAGCCGCTCCGTCGTCTAGCGCACGCTCTCGGCGTGGAACCATTGACGTGGCTGAACGCTGGGGAGATGCACTCGCCGCAAGGAGCGCACGTGTTGATGAATGGTTCGCTGCTCGGTGTGCACGCTCAGCCTGAGGCGTTTGCTCATGCCTTTAGAAAACTCCGTCGCGCGGGTCGAGTTGGAGAATTCGTTTCCGTGTACGCCGCAGATGGATGCGTTTACATTTCGTCCGACGGCGGTCGCGTGTGTAGGCCGCTCATCATCATAGAGCGTGGCGAGCCACTTCTCACGCAGGAGCACCTTGAAGAGCTTAAGGATGGACACCGCACGTTCACAGACTTTTTGCGCGAGGGCTTAGTAGAGTATTTGGATGTCAACGAGGAGAATGACTCTTACATTGCATTGTACGAGGATGAGATGAATGAAGAAACAACGCACTTGGAAATCGAGCCGTTCACCCTGCTCGGCGTCTGCGCAGGCATCATCCCGTACCCACATCACAATCAGTCGCCGAGAAACACTTACCAGTGTGCCATGGGTAAACAGGCGATGGGAAATATCGCGTTCAATCAGTTGAACCGCATGGACACTCTCATGTACTTGCTGGTGTACCCGCAAAAACCGATCGTCAAGACGAAGACCATCGAGTTGATTGGTTACGATCGCCTGGGCGCGGGGCAAAATGCGACGATCGCCGTGATGTCATATAGCGGTTACGACATCGAAGACGCCATCGTAATGAACCGCGCCTCTCTCGACAGAGGTTTCGGTCGGTGCACCGTGTTACGCAAGTACTCGACGCAAGTGAAAAAGTATAGCAATAGAACGATGGATCGAATTATCGGACCAAAGGAAGACCAACGAGCGAACGAGAACGGTCGATATCACTTACTGGATGGAGACGGCATCGCCGCAGTGGGAGGTCGTATCAAGCCCGGGGACATTTACGTCAATAAGCAGAGTCCTATAAACACGCGTGATCCAATGGCGAACCCGCACGGTATGCCAGACACGATGTACAGGTCAAATCCGCTGTCTTACAAAGGTCCTCCGGGCGAGACCGCGATCGTGGATAAGGTGCTACTGACGATGACGGATGAGGGTCAGTTTAACATCAAGACGCTCGTGCGTCAAACTCGCCGGCCGGAGGTAGGAGACAAGTTCTCATCTCGCCATGGTCAAAAGGGCGTGTGCGGCGTCATTCTTGATCAAGAGGATTTCCCTTTCAGCGAGCGCGGAATAACGCCCGATCTCATCATGAACCCGCATGGTTTCCCGTCACGGATGACTGTAGGTAAAATGATTGAGCTACTCGGCGGTAAGGCTGGACTGGAGAACGGGCGCTTCCACGACGGTACGGCGTTTGCCGGAGACTCGGTCGAGGCCATCCAACAAACCTTGGTCGAAGCCGGTTTCTCACACAAGGGAAAAGATATGCTCCACTGCGGTATTACTGGCGAAGCCTTGGAAGTCAATGTCTTCATGGGTCCGGTGTACTACCAAAAGCTCAAACACATGGTGCAGGACAAGATGCACGCGCGCGCGCGAGGTCCGCGCGTCGTTCTCACGCGCCAGCCCACGGAGGGTCGAGCGCGAGACGGCGGCTTGCGTCTCGGTGAGATGGAACGAGATTGCCTGATCGGTTACGGTGCCTCTCAGCTAATCCTCGAGCGATTGATGATCAGCTCGGATCAGTTCGAGGCCCAGGTGTGCACCAAGTGCGGTTTGCTCGGATTCCAGCATCACATCACTGGCAAGAACGCGTGCACGTTGTGCAAAACCGAGGCTGAGGTCGCCACGCTCAAGCTCCCGTACGCCGCCAAGCTCTTGTTCCAAGAGCTTCAGAGCTGCAACATCGCACCCAGGATTAACCTCGCCGAGGCGTAGACGAAACGAATTGATTACGTGTAAAACAACATCAAACGATAGACGTAACCGCACTGCCAGCTGGCGCGCCCCCACAGCTCCCACACAGATTCGCGCCCGTCCCGCCTCGCGCACGCGGGGCGCCGCGGCCGGGCGCGACGCCACGAATCACCGTCTTCGCGTAACTCTCGAGCGAATCGTATCCGAGAGAAGCGTGGCGTCGAGCGAGCGTTCGTCAGGGCTTCGCCATGAGTTCCAACGGTTGCTCTGGGGCGTCTTGTGTGCGATTCGCGACGAGCGATCGCGACATTTACATCGGGTGCGACGAGCGATCGACGCGACGACATCACGGGAACGATCGTCTGATCCCTCGCCGTGGATGAGATTCCAGGGCGACCGCCGTGGGGGCTCGTCCCTACGAGGCGAAGGGCGAGGCGAAGCGGGCGAAGAGCGACGGACGGGATCGAAGGCGGAGACTGACGACGGGATCGACGATTTTCGAGCGACACAGTTTGAGCGTGTACAGTGCGGTGGCTTTCTTAGGGTTGACGCTCTTCGGGCGCGTTCGACACGTGATGCCAATTTATTTTGGACGACTACGGCTGCGTAATCTGACGCTGCCGCCGCCGCCGTTCAGGGTGCCGAGGAAGAAAGACTCCAAACGAGGACCGGTGGCCAAGTTGATGATGTATTATTTTGGATGGATTCCGCACGTGCTGAGCGTGGACGATAAGAAGCTGATCTCCACCGCTGGGTTGGATGCGTTTGCTTTTTTGCGCGTCTGTCAATTTGGGTTGCAACTTTTCCTTCCACTTGCCATGATTTCTGTTGTTGTTCTGCTACCTTTGCACATCAACGGGGATGATTTATCAACGCAGCACGATGATTATATGAAGTTACACCCGAACTCAACCGCACAGGCCCCGGGGGGGTTGTTACTCACCACGGTGGCAAACATCTCGAGCAAGAGGTCCGTGCTGTGGCTGCACGCAGTGGGGATGTGGTTAACGGTGCTGTACACCTGTTGGTTACTCAAACAGCATACCGCCACTTTCGTCATACTGCGAACGCTTTACCTGACGACGCGTGGTGACACCAATCTTTGGCAGGTTGTTCATCAACCATCTAACTTCATCGAGCAGATGCTGGTTCAGGGAACGCGGGGCGGTGCAGAAATCAACGATGACGATCTGAGGAAGGTAAAAAGTGCGACATCGGATGAGATTGGCGACGCCCTCTCTGCGATGGAAGAATGTAAAGACGAACATACGGACTTGCTGTCGCGAGCAGTGGAGTTGACGGCGAAATCGACGAAGAATTTGCTTACGGCGGCTCGAAACGTGCGAGTCGCCGACACCAAGGACTCCAGCGATGAAGAACATCTCAGGAGGCATGACGGTGACGAATTAACAAAAGTAAATGCTCCCCCATCAACGTTGGATCGACGAAGTTCAGGAGATAGAGCGCCGTTGTCGAGGCAGACACCGAAGCCTTCGCTAAGGCTTCGGGAAGGAATTTCACCTTTCGACCGGAAGCTGTCTAGACAGATATCACTGTCTCAGGTGACAGGTCATCCGGTTACGGTACAGGGCAACGTCGCTCAGGGGCTGAAGGGTGCGGGTAAACTGAAATCAAGCGCTTCGCCAGACGGTGAATCACTTAGGCAAAGGTTGTCAACATCTCCAACATCTCCAGGGAGCACGCCAACGGCATTCAATCAGGGCCAAGGCTCGTTCATCTCTGGGCAAGCGTCGTCGAGGGAAATCAAAATACCTCCAGGACCTGTGATAGAGTCCAAGCAGATTTCATCGTTCACTTCAGGTTCGGGGGAAGGCTTGGGCGAGATCGACCTCAGCATAAACCCTCCGCTGAGCGAACCTCCCAGCGCTGCGAGGCGAAAACAACGGAAATTGCGGTTGGGTTCTTTTGGTTCGTTGGGCGCTCTACCCGCGTCCGTCAGCGGCGACTTGCAGCAACTCACCCAATCGGACGAAATAGGAAAGGGAGCGTCTCTACGGGTGGGATCGAAGGAAGACCTCACGAGGAACGAGCTTATGCGAGGTCTCGTGGGTGATATGAAACGTTCTGAAAGTTTGGAGTTTCTGTGCAAGAGTTCAAAGAAATCCCCGCGTCGTAACAAACATCAACGAATGCCGACGTTTGAGGATTTCAAGCTAGATGATGTTGCGCTAACGCCGGCGGTGAAGAAGGCGCTTGCGAGGGTTAGGTCTATGGAAAATGCACGCGACATTGAGCGCACGAGTGATGAGGACGGTTCGAATGTTCGGAGTGAAATCGCGATCTCTCACGATTGGTGGGTTGGTTTGGACATCACGAGAGAGTACGAACGATCACTGAGAGAAGATCCGGGATCGTGCGCGATCGCCGCCTCACCACCACAAACGCAGGAGATGAGAAACGAGATCAATCGCAGTCTAGCACAAGCATTTGGTGACGTTGCTGGGCGAATTGACTCACCGTTGAATGATGCGGCGAATTCTCCGGTGACCCGCGCGTCTATGGCGGTCGGTGACCACTTGAGCCACGCTCCATCTGCAGTGCCGGACGTGAACAGCATTAGAACCGTCAACGCGTACGACCAAACCACAAAAGAACTCGTTAGTGTGTGGGCATCGAGTTACACGGTTCTCATCACCGACATCCCGTACGTTCGAGCCGTAAACGAGGATGGCGATGAAGTCAAAGTGAGAGGCTTGCGTCAAGTTGAGGCGACCCTTGAATACATTTACGGCGACGAGTTCAGAGGGTTAATTCCGGTCTTTGATCATCGACCGGTAGACGCGCTTTTGGACAGTTACGACGCGTGCAAGAACGCTCTGACGCGAGTCAAGTTGAGGATGGCGCGCGAAGGTATCTTGCCTGAAGTGACTCTCCCCGGCATCGCGTACAAATTCGGGAAGCGACTGTGTGCGGTGAAGGATCGCGAGGAGGATCCGTGGATGAATTGGTCAGCCTTTACATGTCTGTTTTCAGATTTATTGCGACGACCAAAAAAGCTGAACAAACTGTCGCTACCCGAGCAGGTGGTGACTTTGGAGGCGCAGTTACGGGCGCTTGATGAGTCCATCGTTACTCTTCGCAAGATGACCTGGGATGCGCCCCCCGGACCGAGCTGTTTCGCGGTATTTGAGAACCAGCTCGCCGCAAGTACGGCGGCACAGTGCGTGATTTCCCGTGCGTCGCATAGAATATATAGAGCTCTACCGGCACCCGGTCCGGACGACATAAACTGGCAGACGCTTCTTCGAACTACGACTGAGAATCGTCGCCGAGCGTTGATGGTGTGGCCCATTATTTTATTTTTGATGATGTTTCCCACTGGTATGTTCTCCACGACGGTGACGAGCTTCTGCAAGTTGCGTGAAGAAGAAGGTTTCATCGGTGGTAGCACGTTGGGATGGTACTGCTCAGCTGACGGCAAATATGCCCGATCGATAATTTCCGGCGTGCTCCCACCGGTGCTTCTCACGCTGTGGGAGGTGTTCGTCATCTCCTTTTACATGCTCTACTTGGTTCAAAAGCAGAACACACACGTGTCGTTATCGGCAACAGATCGACGGTTTTTGCGATTCTACTTCGCTTGGAGCGCTGTGAACGTTGTTGTCGGTGGTATATTCGGTGGATCACTCGCTTTGTTCACGACAACGCTCGGCAAATCTGATGTCACCTTTTCCGAAGTGCAGCAGCAGTTTGGTCGCGTGGTTCCGCTGAGCAGTAACTTCTTCCTGCTTTTCATCGTGTTCAGAGCGGTGTATCTTCCCGTGCAGAGGCTGTTACTGCCTCATCCCGGCTCGATCTGTCTCGCCTTGGATATATTCTGGTGTCAAAAGCGCGGCACGTGCGCCAGGACCGCGAGGGATAGGACGCTTTTGTACTCTCCGCGGGCCGTGCGCATGGGTCGCGAAATTGGCGTCTTCTTGCTAATCATGCTTATCGGGCTGACATTCGTGAACATTGCTCCTCTCATCCCGTCCGTGTGCGTGTTGTTTTACATCACGAACTTTGTGATCTGGCGCTACCACGTCTTGTACGTATACGAGCGTGGATACGAGTCCAACGGCGCAGTGTGGTTCGTGTTCACCCAGCTCGTCCTCCTCTCCCTTCTCATCGCCCAGACGTTCTTGTCGTGCGTTCTATTCAGTAAAGAAGCCTACATCCAGGGCGGCATCTTGTACCTCACCGTACCCCAGTACCTGTTCCGAGTGTATAACAAGCTGCGCTCCGAGTACGGCTCCGCCTCGTCCTGGAGCGTCCCGCTCAGCGAGGCCACCGCCGCGCCGCCGACGGATTTCGGTGGCGAAGTCTACACCCATCCCGCCCTCAGACCTGCCGCCAACGGGTGGTTCCCAGACATCGGTAAGATCTGGAAGGGCTATCCCGGCGTGACGTCCAAGAATAACTCGTAGAGACAACCCCTTGTAAGCCATAGATTGCTTCGCACTCCTGGAGCGTGGAGCGCCGCTCCACGCTGAGTCGCGCGTAGCGATAGGCCCCTTGTGCCTCACTTCACTGGTCGCCTCGATGGTCGCCTCGACGCTCACCGCTCGCGCGTCGTTTCGCACCGCCGGCGTCCGTAATGACTATACCTCTCGCACGAGCGCCCGATGTATCGCGCACGCCGTCGTCGTCGCGCGTGCGACGCGTCCGAAGAGTGAAGGTGTGGAATTCACAAATGTGAAAACCATCGGCAAGTTTTCACCCGTCAACGCGGAAAAGTCGATGCGCGCGCGGGTTTCGACGACGGCTAAAATCGCGCGTGGACGCTCCGTGATCATGTCGTCGACGCCGAGCGCGACGGAGCACGGGAAGCTTGTCGCGAGCGCGGGCGCGTTATTCGCGCTGGACAAGACGCTCGAGCACGTCCTGAAGACGGCGGGTGTCAAGTTCCCGAGCGCGCTCGTGGGCATGTTCGGTCTCCTGGCGGTCATGCTCGTCGCAGAAAAGATCGCGGGGGAGGAGAAGGCGAACGAGATCAAGGCTCTGGTCGCCCCTGCGCTGAGTTGGATCACCTCTTGGTTGCCGGTGTTCTACGTCCCGAGCCTGGTGGTGATACCGCTGGTGGTGACGAAGATTGCGCCGGCAGCCCTGGTCAAGGTGCTCGCGATCGTCGTCGTCGGGTTCGTAGTCACGATTGCATTCAGTGCGTACAGCGCGGGGGCGATTCGTAGGATGACAGGGACGGAGATGTTACCGGTGCCGCCGGCAAAACCGCTACCGGCGACGGAGGACTACGTGTACAAGCTGTGGGGAGGTGTCTTGGCCGCGACCGCGGTCGCCGCCGTCGCGACGGGCGCGAACCAGATGAAGGTGTTCGCCATGCTTGCGGCCACGGTGTGCTCGTTCCTCGTGGGCAACATTCCGGACGTCAAAGCGAAAATGAATCCGATTGTCACCACGTCTGTGCTCGCCAACATTGCCGCCGCGGTGCTCGGCGTCATGACGGGTGACGGATGGATGGGCACGCTTGGTCTGTATCGCACCGGCGCACCATTCGCGATGAGTAACGTCGGTGCGCTGGGCGCCGGCGACGTCTTGATGCTCTTCCTCGGTAGCGTCATACTGAGCTTTGCGTTCAAGGTGTTCGAGGCGAGAGCCATCATCCAACGTCACGCCGTAGAGATTTTCGGATGCCTCGTTTCCACGTCCATATTCGCCATGTTCGCCACGGCGATCGCGGGCAGAGCGCTTGGTCTGAGCTCTGCGCTCTCCGCCGCCTTGGTCCCGCGTTCGGTGACCGTAGCTCTCGCTATTCCGGTGACGACTCTACTCGGACATCCGGAGATGGTGAGCGTGACAGCCGCCGGCGTCGTCCTCACCGGCCTCATCGGTAGCTCCCTTTGCATCACCATTCTCAACAAGATTGGCGCCAAGGATCCAATCACGCGAGGTCTCGCCACCGCCGCTTCCGCGCACGGTCTCGGTACGGCGGCTCTCGTCGGTAGCGAGCCGGCTGCTCTTCCGTACTGCGCACTTGCGTACGCGCTCAGCGGCATCATTTCCAGCGTGCTTGTCGCCATCCCGATCATCCAAAAGGCGCTCGTCGCTATCATTGGTGCGTAATATACATTATAGCAATACATTGTGAGAATAATTCCCACGGTCTACTTTTGTTCCTACTTCAAAACGTCGAGAGGCGGAAGCGCAGCCGCGTCGCCGTCGCGGATGACGTACAACTCGAGCGGCACATCCTCGCATTCCTCCTCCATCCCCACGCATATTATCGGACTAGTGATTAAACATCGCTGGACGTTCCAAGATTCTTCATCCAAAAGGTTTTGAAACGTCTGCGCTCCGCTGCGGCTCGCGGGGACCGGATTTACGATGAGGGCGCAGCCACCAGGAGCGAGGTACCTCTTCAGCGCGCGAACTACGCCAGGAGCCATGTGCTCCTCGTGCACGACGTCTGCTCCGATGATTACGTCGAACGAGTTCGCGTGTTCTTCGTGAAACTCGTCGTCGTCGTCCCAGTCCAATACTCGCGCGGCGGTCCTCGCGAACGCGTCCAAATATTGAGTTTGTTTTTTCGCGTTGTACGCCGTGTTCGCCACCGCCGCCGCGTCGACGTCGGTGAGCGTGACATCCCAATCGGGGCACTGCGCCGCAAACGTCATTCCAGCGATGGACGTCCCGCCGCCGATTTCCAAGCACCGTCGACCCGCGAACGCGCGCGTCCACGCGCGCGTCTCCGCGCGCGACAGGAACCTCCCCAACGCCACCGAACTGTGCCAAACCATCCCCGACACGCTCCTCGTCAACCCATCCTCTCGACCGAGGCGCAATCGCAGCGTCAACGGCGCCGCCGCCGACCCCGTCCGCGCGACGACGAAGCTCGCCGCCGCCGCGCGTCCAAAGCTCGGAAACCCCACCCCGAGCGGCGCCGCCTTCACACACGCCGCGTACGCCTCGCTCGCCGCCTCCGCCACGTCCGCGCGCACCGACGTCATCGCCCGCGCGATCGAGCGATCGCACCCTGAGCACGCCACCGCGACCGCCCACTCATCGTCCGCCTGGGCGTTCGCTCGCACCGCGCGCAAAGCGTCGATCATCGCCAAGTCGTCGCCCTCGCGGATGACGCGCGCCCACGCCGAGGCGGTGGCCGTTCGCGCCGCCTCCGCCGCGATCGCCTCGGCGTCGGCGTCGAGGACGAGCATCGCGCGTCGAGCCTTGGGCGATGATGATTCGATGCGATGGACACAAAAACAAAAACCATCACGCGATGGACACAAAAACAAACAAAAACCATCACGCCACGTCGTCGCGACGGGTGGGACGGCGGCGGCGACGCGAGGGCGACGGCAGAGACGCGCGCGTGGACGCGCGACCGTGGACGAGGGAGACCGGCGTCGAGGACGACGATCCATCGCGCGCGCGTCGTCGCGAGACGTCCGCGGCGTCGACGGCGCGGCGCGCGCGGGCGGGGGGGATCGCGTCGTCATGAGCGCGACGGAAATCATGGAGAAGATCGCCGTCATCGAGCTGGAGATCTCGCGGACGCAGAAGAATAAGGCCACGGCGACGCACCTGGGGTCGCTTCGATCGAAGATTGCGAAATTACAGCGAGAGTTGATCGAGTCGAGCGCGTCGAAGGGTGGACCCAAAGGCGAGGGCTTCGACGTCACGAAGACGGGCGATTGTCGCGTCGGGTTGGTTGGATTTCCGTCGGTCGGGAAGTCGACGCTGTTGACGAAGCTCACCGGGGTGTTTTCGGAGGCGGCGGCGTACGAGTTCACGACGCTGACGTGCGTTCCGGGTGTGGTGCGTGTGTTCGATGACTTTGAGCGGAGCGAGCGAGAGACTGACGGGACGTTTTTTTATCCGTGGTAGATTAAATACAGAGGCGCGCGCATTCAGCTTCTGGATCTCCCGGGGATCATCGAGGGTGCGAAAGATAACAAGGGTCGCGGTAGACAAGTGATCTCGACGGCGCGCACGTGCGATGTGATCATCATCGTCCTCGACGCGCTCAAGCCGTTTACGCACCGCAAGTTGATCGAACACGAATTGGAGGGCGTAGGGATTCGTCTCAACAAGAAGCCGCCGGCGATCGTGTTCAACAAGAAGGAAAAAGGTGGCATCGCGTTCTCGCCCAATCCCAACGGGCCGACGACCTTCTTGGATGAAGAGACTGTGAAGGCGATTCTCGCGGAATACAAGATTCACAACGCTGACGTCAAGCTCTTCGACGATTGCACCGACGAGGATCTCATCGACGTCATCGAAGGGAACCGCATCTATACTCCCGCCGTGTACGCGGTGAACAAAATGGACTCCGTGTCGCTCGAAGAGCTCCAGCTCATGGATGATATGAAGCACTACGTCATGACGTCGTCCGAAAAGGAGTGGAACTTGGACGGATTGTTGGAGAAGGTTTGGGAGTATCTCGATTTGATTCGCGTGTACACCATGCCTCGGGGCACTACGCCGAACTTTGACGAACCGATCATCTTGCACAAAAAAGCGTGCACCGTGGAGGACTTCTGTAACAAGCTCCACAAGACGATCATCCGCACGTTTAAGCACGCGTTGATTTGGGGCACGAGTTCAAAGCACCGACCCCAGCGCGTGGGTAAGGATCACGTTCTCGAGGACGAAGACGTGGTCCAAATCCAAAAGGCGCACGGCACATAGTTAGAAACTAGAACCTATTGTTTGTTAAATCAAATGTCATTGTCTACCAAGACCACGACGCGAATACGGCGTCCGCACGCTCGTGCATCACCGCGAGTCGACGCGCCTCTTCAATCTCAGCCTTGGTCGGCATCGAAAACGACTGCGTGTTCGAAGGCGATAGGGGATTCTCTTTGTCATACTTCGCACGACTCGTGAACAAACCCTTTTGCGCACTCGGAGGCGTCTTGATTTCTCTGTTGGGTCGACTCCCCGACATTGGTGGCGTGACGCTGACGCGATCGTCGAACGTAACGCGGAGGGCGTTCGACCGATTCGGCGAAACCATCGCGACCTGATCCAACTCGACGTTTTCCGACGGAGTGTCCGTCTTCAACGCCGGCTTGAGCGGTCGCTCTGGCGACGCCGGGGCGAGATTTGGTGTCGCGTCCATTTCGCTCGCCTCCGCGTGTGCGACTGCTTGAGTTGGTGATGCGATAGCCTTCTCCGGCGCGCGCGCGCGATCCGCCTTGATGGGGGACGCCACGTGGCGAAATGTGTGGAGCTCCTGTAACGCTCGCGCACGTTCGTCATTACTGGAGTTATCCTCCTTAAAGCGAGACTTTGTCACGCTGTGCGGCGGCGTCACCATGACGATGTCATCAGTGGAATCCTCTCCCCAGATCTCCGCCATCATCGCATCGCGCGCGGTCGCGCGCTCAACCGCAGCGTTCGTGATTTTACCATCATCGTCCGTCGACGTCACTTCATCAACCTCATTCGGCTTCGCCCGGCTTGGTTTCAGGGCGGCGCTCCACTCGTCGTCCTCCGCCTCCGCTTCTTCCTCTTCTATTTCCTTCGCGTCCTCGACCTCTACGTCCTCGCTAGCGCTTCCCTCAACTTCTGTGTTCACATCTTCTTCCTCTTCTCCTGCCTCTTCCTCTTCCTCCCCGCTCGAGTGCACGGGCGTCATCTCCGTACGAACGACCATCTCGTCCTCAACCGCCTCCGACTCGACAGACTCCTCCACCCGCGCGTCGCCCGGCTCGCGCGTCGCCTCAACCAAACCCACCACGCGCGCTCGTAACTTGACCTCCCCCGCGTACCCCCCATCCCCATCGACCAACGAGACCACGGTCACGAGCCCACGCTCGATCGCCGGATCTCTCAGAGCGATCCGAGCGCTTCCGCGACACTCGTGCGCCTCCCGTCCGCGCTTGTCCCACACGCTGATTCGCACGAAATCTTCATCCACGTCCACCGCTCGTTCGAACGTCACGATCGCGTCGCGTTCGTTCCACGTCGCGTTTCCGCTCATCGTTCGTCGCGATCGCGTGCGGTGTCGTCCGTCGGCGCACTCGACGACGCACAGGAGTCTGGAGTAGCTGGAGATGAATTTCTTGGTGGATTTCGGGGTCGTGATCGATCGTGCGTCGTGTACGTCGACCACGAGGTGGCCGTACGCCGAGGGACTCGATCGGTGCGTCATGCGCGTCGATCGGGTGACTCGGGTGCGCGCGCGCGGCGGTGAGTGCGGTGCGGCGGGGGTGTTGCGCTGGCGCGATTCGCTTTGGCGTCAAAACAGACAATGGATACCTTACAAAGCGTCTCTCTACCGTCGATGGATCACGACCAGGTCGTGGCGTGGTAACAGTTTAAGATTGGTTTAGACCCCGGGGGCATGAACTGCGTTTCGCCCAGGCCGCGCATGTTCCAATCCTTGTCCTTGCCGACGACGCACATCTTGCCGATGAGCCAGGCGTCAACCATGTCCGCCCCCTTGTGGGACATGAACTCCTGAACCTTTCGCACGAATGAGTCCGTGATGACGTATGCTTGTAAGCCGGCGACCGGAGTGAACTGGTCCCATTTGTACAGGTGCACCGGGACCGGGGTGCCGTCGTCGCCGTGACCATTCCACTGGTCGATCAAGTCGCCTCCATGGAAGTTGCCGAACGAAGTGAACAATACGTCAGCGTCTGCCGGCATGCGATCGATCGCACGCTGAAGTTCGACGAAGGGTAAATCACTCGCACCGACCCCATCAGATTCCACTATCATCGCCTTCTTCAAACCTTTCTCCTTGATGAGCTGCCACTGGAACAGGTGCGCGTACAAGCACCCGACGTGATGCGAGAGCCTTCGCCACTCTGTCGGGAGCTTCCCATCCGGTTGTTGCTTCGCCAAATCCAAAATTTGCAACCACGGAAGTTCCATCAAAGTCTTACCGTTCTCCTTCGCCATCTTCCGCACGTCCTTCACCGCGAAATCCGCCAAGTTGGCGTTATTCGGCCACGCCGTGGCGTCCACGCCGGGGGAAACCGTCACCAACGACGCGATCTCCTCCGGCGTCAACCCACTTCGGTCCCGTAACTTCTCCAGACTCATTTTCATGTGCGCGTCGTCCCCGGTGGTGCCCACGGAGATCATAAATATCGGCGTTCGCATCGCGGGCGCGTCTCTCGCGAACGCCTTTTGTCCGCCCAGGCCCGGCAACACCCCCGCGCGTCGCTCCTTCGTGACGCGTCGCTCGATCTCACGCTTCACCGCGCCCAGCGCCGCCGTCCGGACCGCATTCTTCACGTCCGCGACGTCGAACATGGCGTACGCGACGGCGCAGAATCCGAGCGTCGCACCGATCGCGGCGGCGGTGAACCGAGAGGATGCTTTCGCTCGACCGCTCGTGGTCTCGGCTCGAATGGTTTCGTGTTCGGCGCGCGCGCGACGCTTGGCGATCGCGAGGGAATCCATGATGCGCGCGTGCGGACTCTTCCGGAACGCGCGCGCGGCGTCGGTTGCGTCGGGGGACGATCGCGAGCGCGCGAGTGCGGTGTGAGCGATCGGTTCTCGTTTTGGTGTTGAGGTCTCGCGCGGCGGGCGAGCGAAAGCGTGAGAGCTCGGTCATTTCTTACGATGATTTTACAGACCTACGCTCGCGCGGCGGAATTCGCGAGGGCGATCATTACGGCTTTCGCTTCCTTATTCTCGATGTTGCGCCACTTGTCCTTAAGGTCGACCTGTGTGCGCTTATGCGTGTCGAAGACGGCGTGGTGCGCCTGCAAAATTTTTGCCCACGCGCCCTTGCCGTACACTTTAACGCCCTGGCGGAGTGCCGCGACCTCTTCCGGCGTGAATTTCGTCTTACGACGTCGGACTTTAGCGTAGTTAGGGCGAGGGACGACGACGGTCCGGCTGGGCGACGTCGGTCGAGCTGCGCCGAGCGCGGGAGACGCCGGTGCGGTCGGCACTTCGACGTCCTCGATGTCATCTTCGACGGGCACTGAACGAAGACGCTTCTTCGCCGGTTGCGACGATTTAGGCATCGAAGACGTCGCCGTTGCGTTAGTAGACGTCTTCTGCTTCTTCGGTGGCGACTTTGGTGCGGATGGTCTAGGCGACTGAGGCAACTCTGTGACTTGCGTCGCCGTGACGTCGAGATCCTCGTAGTCATCGTCCGAAGTCGGTTCTTCCAGTGTGCGCTTCCCAGATCGACTCGATCTCTTCTCCGGACTCTTCTTCGGGCTCGGAACCGGTGGCGGTACGACCACCTTAGGCCTGCCTCTGCCGCTCTTTGGGGGACTCGGACGAGCAGCTGGCACTTGTGTCGGTAAGATGTCGTCATCTTCATCATCATCCGCCGCCATCGGCAACTGAGGAACGTCATCCGCGTGCGTCGTAGCTTCACTGGATTGCCGACCGAGTGACAACGAACGCGAGAGGAAGGACGCAACGCTTCCGAGCAAACGCCTCGCCGGCGACACGTACACCTTCGCGGTTGACTCGGGTGACTTGGATCGCGTAAACTTACGCGGCGGCGTCTTCGCGGGCGACGGCGCGACCTTCTTACCGACGTCCACCCAATCCCTCCGCGGGCTCACCGCGCGCGCGTTCTCCTTTCCGAGCGATCGCGGCGTCAGCTGCGGCGCGTGCTTCGGTCGATAATACGACGTCGCCACGTTTTCTTGCACGATCATCAAACTCGTCGTCTTCCGCCGAATCTCGTCCAACAACGCCTCGACGCACTCCATTAGTTCCTTCGAGTGCTTCTTCGTCCACATCTTCGTCCCCGCGCCCTCACTCGGCTTTCCGTGCACGCCCAAGAGCTCCTCTCGCAACGCCGCCCCGACATCCGCGCCTCCGTCGTCCCTTCCCTCCTTCGCTCGCTCAACCTTCGCGATCGCGATCGCCCGTTCGCAGCAAGACACGTACTTATCAAACGCCTCACCTTCATCATCGATCAACCCCTCGTCATCGTCGTCGTCGCCGAACACCGCCGCCGCGCAATCTCTCAGCGCCGCGCGCGCGTCCTCCGCCTCATCGCTCCCCTCCACCCTCGCTCGCGCGCGGTACAAATAAAAGTACGCCCGCAGCTTCCCCGGGGCATCACCCCGCGTCTCCACCCCACGCGCGATCGCACCGAGGAGTTCACCGAGCGTGGACGCCGGCGCGTTCGCCCGCGCGAGCTCCTCGATCGCGAACAGCGTCGCCGGATCCATCGCTCGCGCCTCGCGCGCGTCCCCCGCCCCCGTCCGCGTCGCCGTCGTCCTCGCCGTCGTCCTCGCGCCCGTGGTCTCGCACGCGCGTGACGTCGCGACGCGCGCGTGACGTCGCGACGCGCGCTGGGGCGATCGAGCCGTTCGTCGCGAGGTGGAAGAGGAATCGTCTTTTGTGTTGGTTTTTTTTTTGTGTCGCTTCATGTTTTTCACCCTCGACGTCGCGCGACGAGAGGGCGGCGCGCGGCGACGGCGCGCTCGGGACGGACGATGGTGGTCGGGACGTCGGCGAGACGACCGCGCGCGGTGTTCTGCGTCGTCGGGGCGTGCGCGAGCGCGTGCGCGATCGGGACGTGGCGCGCGGGTGGATTGACGTGGAGCGCGCCGACGCCCAGGGAGTGGGTGCTGGGGGCGGATGCGGTGACGACGCGCGCGGACGCGGGAGAAGCGGCGATGGCGATGGCGAACGAGTGCGTGGGTGCGAATGAACGATGGGAAGGGGGGGAGAGACGCGCGTGCGGGGCTGGAGGGAGGGGTGGAGTGGGCGAGGGGAGGGCGACGCGAACGAGGCGGAGGACTGACATCGTCGGCGCGAACGCGCAGGTACGCGGGGAGAGGTGTGGGCGGGAGGGAAAGAATCGACGAGAACGCGCTCGGGACGTTTATGTTTCAGTGGGAAAGTGCGAACGCGGGCGCGAGCGTGTTCACGAGGGAGAATATCGAGGTCATGCGCGCGCACGAGACGCTCGTCATGGAGCGATTCGATGAGTTTTGTCAAGTCGAGTACGACGGCGATACCGGAGCGCCCTTAGGGTGCGTCACGCCGCTCACGCCGTTGTCGTACTTTTATGACGACCGAGGCAGGCTCGTGGACGACCCGGACGTCGTCGTGCGCGACATCTTCGCTCGAAACTTGAGTCATTACGGGTATTTTTTGGGGCGCGTTTGACGCCGAAACCCGGCGTCGTCGGGATCACGCGAGCCAAGTACCCGGTTGGCTCGCCGTTCAAAGGGTACGTCAGCGTAAGCGATAGAAGGGATGAACAAGAGGCGATTCTCGCATCTTTTCTCGATCCCATCGAAACCACGCTCTTTGAAAACTTTGGTATGAAGGGTAACGTCGTCAGTTCGCCTTACATGCGATCGACAAGAAGAGGGTCGCTTATCACGCGCTGGGACGCCGAGCTTCTTCGCCAGAGGGATTCTGCGAGAGTGATTTCGAGTGATCTTGCATGGGCGATCGGATCAATCGCCGCCGTTTGGCTGTACGCCGTTTTAAATACCGCGTCGATATTTGTCGCAACCGTTGGCATGTTCGAAATCCTAGTGTCTTTCCCGATCGCAATCATGATATACCGGTGGATATTTCGCATCGAATACGTCGGCAGTATACAGGCACTCTCCATATTCATTTGTCTAGGCATCGGGGCAGACGACGTCTTCGTGTACTGGGATGCGTTCCGGCAGAGCGCTCACGAGATTGCTGACTCAGGCGATTCGCTGCACGATAGACTCGTGCACAGCACTGGCAGGGCATCCAAGGCGATATTCGTAACGTCACTAACCACCACAGGTGCGTTTCTGGCCACGGCATGGTCTTCTATTACTCCGCTCGCCGGGTTCGGTATCCTTTCGGCGACCATGATTGCGGTACTCTTCGTGATGAATGTGCTACTGTTTCCGGCGACGCTCATGATTTACGCACGGTATTTCGATCACATGAAGTGGCTGTGTCCATCGCGTGAAGAGACGTGCAATGAAGGTGCAAAACGCGCAAAGCTGAGCCGCATAGAAAATTTCTTTAATGGACCGTTCTATCGCACGATTGAGCGTCCGGTGGTGCGCCTGGTCTTCATCCCTGGTTTCATCGCTATCTTTATCGTCGCATCGCGGTTGTGCCTCCGTCTTGAGACGCCATCAATGCAAGAGAAGTGGTACGCGTCCTCGCATCTTTCTCAACAGTTCATCGATCGGGAACAATCGGCGTTCATGCGATCTGACGATGACATTGTCGTTCATGTCGATATCTTTTGGGGCCTCGAAGGAGTCGACACATCTGGCATAAGTCGATGGGATCTCAACGCTCGCGGCAAACTTCTACTGGAAACGTCGTTTGACCTCTCATCTGAGGCATCGCAGGCGCACATTTTCGAATCATGCTTGCGCATCAGAGACGCACCGTGCTTCTTACCCGGGTGCAGGGATGGCAAGTTGTCTCGAAACGTGGACTGTTTCATGGAGGCGTTCCGGGACCACGTCGGCGCGGTCAATTTCCCCGTGCCTCAGAGCGAGTTAGTTGATAAATTGTTGGAATTTCGTGCTTCACCGAGCGGCTCACGTTTCGTGCAACAGATGGGATTTCGTCTCAACGACGTTTCTGGTGAAATGGAATTGTTCTTCATCAAAGTGACCGCCATAAGTACGCTGCAACTTCAAGCGCCCGCGAGCATTTCACGCCTCGTGCACGACGAGTATCAGAGCTTGGTCGACAAATTGAACGAAGTCGCGCCACCGGGAGTTGCAAACGGTTTGCAGACGGCGTATCTCGCGTGGACGTGGATGCGTATGCAAGAAACCTTGGTCGAAAACACGTTTCAAGGCATCAGCATATGCTTTTGCATGGCATTTGTGATTTTAACTCTAAGCACTGGCAATGTACTCGTTGCGGCGATAGCGTCGGTAGCCGTCGCCGGGACAGTGGTATCAGTACTTGGCCTCGGTATCTATCAAGCGATGGGATGGGATTTGGGCATTCGAGAGACCATTGCGGCCGTGATTCTGATAGGGCTATCTGTAGATTATGGAATTCATATCGGGAATGCGTACGTGGAAGCGCCGAGTACTCTCAAGACGCGAGGCGAACGTGTACGATACGCACTTACGACCATGGGCGTTTCAATCGTTGGCTCTGCCGCCACAACTGTGGCCTCAGGAAGCATTCTTTGGCTCTGCACGTTGATGTTCTTCTCAAAGTTTGCGTTTCTCATAACGAGTACAATTTTCTCATCCATCTGTTGGTCCATATTTTTCATTCCTCTCGTGCTCGTCACGCTCGGACCCGAGGGCAAAGATTGGTCGCTCACGACACTTTTTACCGGCGTGCGCGTTACTGCGTCTCGTGTCCAAACTTGTGGAGGCTCTCCTTGAGTGCTTCAACGATCTCAGCACACTCTTTGACGCGCGCGATGACATAGACGCAGTCGTCGGCGTCCGCGTCCATGTCGAGCTTCTTAAAAATGTTCATCACGATGGGTTCAACGATTTCAGCTGTGTGGATCTTCGAGCAAAACTTCGCGATTAAGATGCAGATGATGGCTTTCGCTACGACGCTACTCTCGAAGGAACACATAGCGCCCTCGTAGAGCACCATGAGCGTGAGGATTTCCGCTTCATGAAGGAGTTGAGCTCGGAGTTCTGCTCCCAATGGACACGGACTGGTCATCGCAAAGTCATAGCAGTCCAGTATGACTAGAAAGTATGGAATGAAACAGAAAGGTGTCACCCTGGCGGCGTTCCACCCGAGCTCTCGTAAGACGATCGCCTCCATTTTACTCATTGCCGTGGTATCGAATGAAATGTCGTTCGTGTTCTGCAGTCGGCGTGCGAGATTCCGTCTCTGATTTTGAGCCGGTTCTTCAAACTTGGCCGCGATCAAATTGCACGCGCTCGCGAGCAGTTGATACACCCAAAAACATTCCTTCTGAATCTGATATCCGCTCGCCACGAGGATGTAGTCTAAATAACGAACCGCCATGGCGCTAGTTACTACGGAGAACTGATTCATCGATCCGCTCATCACGATATTCTCCACCAATCGCGCGCGGATGTACCGGATCTCATGCATGCGCTTCGAGATCGAGATGTCCTGCGTCTTCACTCGATCCCCCAGGTCGACAAACTCCTTGCGCTCGCGTTCGATCAGCACTAACAGAGCCGCTATAGCTACTGTCTGTTCCTCTCTGTTCGTGCTGTCGCAGCCACAATCGCACGCGTGCTCAAAAAACTTGGCCATGAGCTGATGCGGCGTCGCCGCGCTCATCGATTCCAACGGCTGCCGCGGAGAGGCGCCGTCCAACGTCGGCGCCCACGTCGTCTTCGCGTCCAGAGTCAGCGAAGAAGCGGAGTCGTCACCTAGCCCGCTGAGATATCGTGGATCGGTCCGAGCGCGCCTCGACGCGCCGTGCATCGATTCGGGAGAGTTGGGCGATGCGTGCGGCGCGGATGCAGCCAGAGGCGTGGTGCTCTCGAGTGAGACCTCGGGCGTTACCGAAGGCGCATCACCGTGCATCATGCGGTGTGAGAAACGAATGGCACGACGACGCAGTCGCGAGTGCGACGGTAGCGGCGAAACGGGGCACCGTGCGAGGCGCGTTGTGAGGTCGTCCTGCACGTCTCGATCAGCGCGATGCGGCGACGTCCCAGTGTGATTTGAAATTTCCATAACAACCATTAGCTCTCCGATGAAAGCATGGATCGCTTTGGTCACTACTGATTGATAGTTCGCATGTTTGAGAACCGTACAGAGATGCTAATAAGACAATTGGTTGGTTGGTGAGGTTTGCGGAAGCGTCGAGCTCGTCGATCGTGCCGACAAGCGCGCGCAAATCAAAATAGTATCCGATCAGATGTAATCCCATCGATCGTAATTGGTTGAACCGAGCTGACCCGCTAATGAAGCGATGATTTTGTTCTTTCGAGCGAGAGTTCGTTCGAGATGACGCACCTCTCGATCCATGAAATCGCGTGGATCGGAGAAGGGCGCCCGTGGGTGGAATGAGTCTCGCATTTCGTTCGGGTAGCGTGAAGGTCCAGCTGTGTTGTGGTGTCTCGGTATGGCGCCTTGACGCCCCCCAGAGAATCGCGCGGGCTGGTGCGCCTGCCAATTGTGCTCAGATTCGTACGCCGGGGTGCGCGGCGAAGTCCCGGCCGAGGCCTTGAACTTCGTCTCGTAGGCGTCGATCGTGCTCTCAAGAGACGCGATTCGTTCCTTGTGCAGGTTCGCCATGTCCAGCAGCTGCTCTTGGTATCTACGGCGCTCGACTTCGAAAGAATCTTGACGCCGTTGAAGATCTGCGATAATTACCTTCAGAGAGTGCACCTCGTCGACGACGTTCACCTTCGACGGGGCGCTCGTCGCTTGCCGCAGCTTATCGCCATCGCTAGAGAGCGGTTTGTTCTCTGCACTCGCGCGAGCGGTGTCGTCGATCGTTGGTGATGGCTTGGCCGCTGGCTTTTCGAGTGGTGGGAGTGCCGGCGAGCGCTCGGCGCTGGCGTCGTCCTCCGATGAATGACCCTTGGTCGCGGAAGGATGAAGCTCGTGCGCAGCGCGGAACTCGCCACTTGCCAACTTTGCCTCGAGCGCTCGAACGCGCCTCTCCACCGCGGATATTTGTGCCGTAGACTTGGGCGAAGCCGTTTTATCACTTCCACGAGACGGGCTCTCCGTCCCTTCGCGCTCACCTCTCGTGAAACGCATCGGTGACTGATGTTCCATATTGTTGATCATGCTCCAAAACGCCATGTCGGCGTCGGCGTCCGTCACAAAGTCTCCGTCAAAGATTGTGCCGACTGGCAAATCAGGCATCGGTTGCGGCGTCTTGTCACGCGCCGCGATCACGACTCTCTGTTCGGGTGACATCGGGGATTGCCTCGTTTGCGCCGCCCGTGTCGCCACCTGCGCCACAGACATCGGTTTGGCTTGCGTCTGCGCGACGCGCTCGAGATCCACCGCCGAACCCTTCTTCGATGTCGCCTCCTTCTTCGTCGCGATGGCGCTTTTACGCATCTTCGTCGGACCAGCGGCCGGCGCCTTTGGCGTCGCCAGCGCGAGTGTCGGCGGCCGCGCGATCACCGTCGTCTTGGGCGGACCTTCACGTCTCGACGCGTACGTCGCTGGAAGCTTGACCTCGCTCGCCTTCTCCCCTCGCGCCATCGAAATCGTCGTCGGCAAAGACTGCACAGGCGGATGTCGCACCGCGCACGCGGGATTCTCACCGAGACCGAATTCCAAGGCATCTTCCGGTCGCCCAACGCCCACGGTGCGTCGCTCCATCGTGACCTCCCTGCGTGCTCGAACGCCTCGACCGTTCGCCAGCTTGCGTCGAATCTTCACGTGCGCGTACCCGTACACCTTCCTCTCCAAGTAATCATGAACGTACATATCCACCTGCGCCGCTCGAGCACGACTCGAAGACTTCAAGAATAATTCATTGGCGCCGAACAGATCCTCGAATCTCGCGTACGGTTCCTCCATGGATCCCTCCGGCGCGCTCGGATCGCCCGCGCGCTCCACCCTCTTCGTCCCGCTCGTCGACCCCATCTCGTGTCTCGCCTTCTCACCCGGAGACTCCCCACTCGAGCGATCACTCACACCACTCCTCTGCTCTCGACCGCGCCGCGCGAGGTCGATCTCCATCCCATCGCCATCCGCGCTCGTCTCCGCCGCGAAGGCGTAGACGTCCGCGTCGCCCGCGCCGCCGTCGATCCCTTCCGTCGCCGCCCCGACCGCGCGCGCCACCTTGGCCCGGTCACACCGCACACAGACACCATCACCACCCCCCATCTCGCTCTCCGAATCCTCCATCGAGCTTCCATCGACGTCCACGAGCGACGTCGACGCGCGCGGCATGACGATCCCGATAACGCCCTCCACCGCCGTCGCGCCCGTCACGCGCCCTTTCACGCCCCCTTTCACGCGCCCTTTCGCGCGCACCCGCGTCCGCCCCTCGCGCGCGCGCTCGAGCGCTCGCGCACCGCGCGCGTCGCGCTCACGCCCCGGCCCTCGCCCGGCCCTCGCCCGCGGTCGACCGCGCGCCCGGAGAAAGTTTCTCGGCGCGGCGTCGTGAACCCTGGGCGTCGATCGCGCGTACTGTGGACGTCCGAGCGCGATGTCTCGGCCCAGTCGCGGTCGCGCGCGCGCGACGGGTTTATGTAAAAAACACCCCGCGAGCTCGTACTCGGGCGTGCTCGCGACGATGCGGTCGCGATGTCGACGCGCGCGGAGAATATACGCGTCGCGTGTACACGTGTACCAGGACTTTGGTCGGTGCGTCGCCCACCGACGCGGCGGCGGCGGCGGCGCGGGAGACGCGGACGACGGGCGTCGCGCGCGAGGGCCATGGGCGGTGGGAAGCGAAAGCGCGTGAACGCCACGGGGAAGGTGATTCCGAAGTCGGTGCTGAAGGCGAAGCGCGGGACGACGAAGGGGGCGTCGACGCGGTACGTGACGAGAAACCAAGCGTTGGCGCGATTGCAGCTCAAGCTCGGGGATTTCCGTCGACTGTGCATCTTGAAGGGCGTGCACCCGCGAGAGCCGAAGAAGAAGGCGCAGGGACAGGGGAAGACGTATTATCACGTGAAGGATATCGCGTTCTTGCATCACGAGCCGTTGTTGGAGAAGTTTCGAGAGTTGAGAGCGTACGCGAGAAAGTTAAAGCGGGCCAAGGCGAAACAGAATTACGTCGCGCTCGATCGCTTGAGGGAGAACACACCGAAATATGAGCTCAGTCACTTAGTTTTGGAGCGGTATCCGCGGTTTCGAGACGCGCTCGGTGATTTGGACGATCCGATGTGCATGTGCGCGCTGTTCGCCGTGCTCCCGACGGTCAATCGGCACAACATCGCGCCAGAGATTGTGGAAAAGTCTGAAAAGTTGAGCCGGGAATTCAAGTCGTTCTGCGTGCGCACGCACGCACTTAGGAAGGTTTTTATATCCGTCAAGGGGATTTACTACGAGGCCGAGATTCAGGGTGAGAAAATCACGTGGGTGGAGCCGCACGCGCTGGCGCAAACCATGCCCGAGGACGTGGACTATCGAGTCATGCTCACGTTTCTCGAGTTTTACCACGACTTGATGACGTTCGTGAACTTCAAACTGTACAAGGACGCCGGTTTGCGGTACCCGCCGACGCTGAACGAGGAGATGGACGACGCCGCGGCGGGCCTCGCCGCCGTCGTGCATCAAATGGTCAAGGCGGCGGATGCCGCAAATGCGTCGGCGCTTCCCGCGAACAGTGATGCGGCGCGGGCGGTGGAGTCCCGAGCACAGAGTCTTAAAGAAAAACTTGCGCAGATAGCCGAGCATCAGGACGAAGAGGAAGACGATGACGAAGCCATGGCTTTGGACGAAGATGATGATGACGGCATGACGCCCGAGCATCGCGAGTGCGCCAAGCTCTTCGACGGTCTCATGTTTTTCATCAACCGCGAGGTTCCGCGAGACATGATGATTTTTATAATCAAATCGTTCGGCGGTGAGGTGTGCTGGGAGGGAGAGGGTTCGCCTTACGACCCGGACGATCCTCGCATAACGCACGTCGTCATCGACAGGCCGACGACGAATATGAAGCTCAATCCAAAGGTGGTGTATATTCAGCCGCAGTGGGTGTGCGATTGCGCGAACTGGCGCGTGTTAATTCCACCTACGGACTACGCGCCAGAGAAGGAGTGTCCGCCGCATCTGAGCCCGTTCATCGGCGCGAACGACGATGGATACACGCCAGAGTATGCCAAGACTCTGTTGAAGCTCCAAGAGGAAGCGCGGGCGATCAGGAACGGTGCTTCGACGGTCAAGATGCTCGAGAACGCCGAAGAAGAGATGACCGAAGAAGAACAAGCCGCGGCTGAGGAGAAGCAGTACAGAAAAGAGTTAGAGGCGGAGATGAAGGGGGTTTCGTACTCGGAGGCAATGGCGAAGAAAGACGACGACGACGAGAACGACGAGGACGACGACGACGACGACGACGACGACGACGAGGACGACGAGGACGAAGACTCCGAAGAGAACGATTCCGAGGAGGATGGTTCCGAGGAGGACGAGGATGCCGAGCCGAAGAGTCGTCTTACCTTCGACATGGCGCTCAGCGAGAAGGATAAAATCATGCGCGACAAACTCGCCGAGGGTACCGAGGAGGAGCAGATGAAGAAGTTGTCGTACATGCTTTTGCCCCGCAAGAAGCGAGAGCTTTACAAAGCGATGCAAATCGGCATCGCGAAGAAAGAGAAGCGCGCGGCCGAGCTCACGAGACTCGCCGAGGAGCACAAGGAGAAGAAGAGACGCGCGGCGGAGGGCGAAAAGGACAAGCCTGCTGCGAAAAAGGGCAAGAAGGGTGGCAAGAAGTAATTTCGCGCGTCGAGTGTAACGGAGCCAAGACTGAAACAAATTCTCCTATTGATTAAAATCAGCGCTCGCGACCTAATTCACAAGCCTAAACAAGGCGGATGACACCCATCTCGGCGTTATCACCACGGCGGTTGAGCGTGCGAACAATGCGCGTGTAGCCACCGTTGCGTTCAGCGTAGCGCTGCGGCACTTGCTCGAAGAGCGCCTCGGCAAGCTCGTCGTCGTAGAGGTACTCCTTCACCATGCGCTTCTTGTAATCATCACCGTCCTTCGCTAACTGAATCATGTTCTCCACCGGCTTGCGCATCGCCTTGGCGCGCGCCATCGTCGTCGTCACCGTCCCGTGACGAAGCAACTCAGTCGTCAACCCACGGAGGAGCGCCTTGCGCTGATCCGCCGGCCTGTTGAGCTTCGGGTCCTTCTTCCCGTGGCGAATCATAGTCCACTTGCCCTGTTCGGTCTCGACACCGAACGTGGAGGCGACACCTATCGTTCAAAGACACCGCGCGTCGTCAGTCTCCAAGACCTAAAACCCTCAAGCCCACGATTCACGAACTCGACCGCGTCCACGCGCGCGCGTCGCCCGTCGACCCCCCCCCCGGACGCTTTCATCGCGCGCATACTCTTCCACATCCCACGCCCGCGCGCGCGTCCCCCCCCCCCTCGCATCGCGTCCCCGACGCGCGTTCGCGCCCGCGCGCGCGCGACCCCCCTCCATCGCGCGCGCGCGTCACCCGTCGCCCACCGCGCCCGCGCGATCACCCGCGCGACCGCCCGCGTCTACGAACGCGCACCTGGTCGAGAGATATCGACGCGCCGGGCGTTCATCCCGCCGAGCGCGCACTGGTGCGCGACGAAGAGCGCCATGACGCGCGCGCGGGAGTGTCGCGCGCGTCGGCGCGCGGACGTCCCCGCGAGGTCGGTCGTGTCGAGGGACTCGTTCTCGAGTCATGACTCGTGACTGGTGACGTAGACCGCCACGGGGCGTCGCGGACGTCGCGCGCCGCCCATCGTCCCGCGTGATGGGTGCGCGCGATGCGCACTACGCGCCATCGGTCCGGTAAATGATACCATCGCCGTGTGATCATCCGCCGCGGGCACGCGCGGGCGCCGACGCGGTCGACCTCGCACGCGGCCGCGACGACGCGTGAGCGGGGCGCGCGGACGGTAACGATGCCGCGGACGTCGACGACGCGCGCGCGCGGCGACGCGGCGACGGGCGGCGGGACGATCGGACGCCGAGGCGAGGCGCGATGGGGCGGAAGGACGCGTTCGCGCGCGAGACGCTCGAGCACCACCGGGAGAGGGTCGGTGCGACCGCGCGCGAGCGGGGTGGGCGATGGGAAGACCGCCGTCGTCGTCGGGGGTGGCGTCGGCGGACTCGGGATGGCGTCGAGGCTCGCCAAGGCTGGTTTCGACGTCACGCTGTTGGAGAAGAACGCCGACGTCGGCGGACGATGCAGAAGCGAGGAGTTCACGGGGGGGGGTGAGGGGTATCGGTTCGACACCGGACCGTCGTTGATGTTACTCCCGGAGCGGTACATGGAGCAGTTCACGTCGGTTGGTGAGAAGTTGGAGGATTACTTGGATATCGAACGCGTGGACCCGGCGTACAGGGCGCACTTCGGCGATCACACCACGCTCGATCTCTTGTACGACATCGAGGCGATGCGAAAACAACTCGATGACGTTGAGTTCGGCGCGGGCGGGAGGTACATCGATTGGCTCGGTAGGGCGCGGGCGAGTCTGGATTACGGCGTCGCCGCGTTCATCGAGCGCGACGCCAACTCCATCTTAGATTTCGTGGATCTCTCTCGCGTCGGACCGCTCGCGCTCGCGGTGAATCCGATCGATTTGTTGCTCCCGCAGTTTAACCAAATGGCGAAGTACTTCAAGGACGAGCGTCTGCGCGCGCTGTTCTCGTATCAGGAGTTGTATGTCGGACTGAGTCCGTACAACGCCCCAGGAGTGTTCTCCTTGCTCGCCGCCACCGAGCTCACGGACGGAGTCTGGTACCCCAAGGGTGGATTTACTAAGATTCGTGAGAGCTTCAACGCTCTCGCGGAGAAGATGGGGGCGAAAATTCGTCTCAATAGCCCGGTCGCGGAAATCTTAACCGAAGAGGTGAGCGGCATGGCGGAGGCCAAGGGTGGCACGCACACCGGTCGCAAGGTCACTGGCGTGCGTCTCGCCGACGGTGAAGTGATCAACGCTGATGTTGTTGTCGCGAATCCCGACCTTCCGTGCGTTTGGGACCAAATGCTCGACTCCGTCGGCGAGCCGGCGCAGCGGGAAAGCGAAAAATGGGACAAGGCTGACTATTCGTGCTCCGTGCTCGAGTTCAACTGGTGCCTGAAGAAGGAGATCCCGGGATTGTTGCATCACAACGTGTTCTTATCGGGCGACTACAAGGGTAGCTGGAACCGACCGGCCACGGTGGATGACTTCGCGGCGCCGAAGCAACACAACTTTTACTGCCACAATCCCGTGTACACGGATAAGACGTGCGCGCCAGAGGGTGGCGCATCGCTCATGATCTTGCTACCGATCGCTAATATTAAAGAACAAGAAGAGATCTGCAAGAAGCGCGGCGTTCCGGTCCCGAGCGAGGCCGAGCTCGTCGAGGCTGGCAGACAAGCCATCCTTCGCCGATTCAAGGAGGCCGGGCATGGGGACCTCTCTGAGATCATCGCGCACGAATCCGTCACCGTCCCCTCGGAGTGGCGTGACAAGTTTAACATTAAAAACGGCGCGGTATTCGGGTTGTCTCACGGTTTGCTTCAACTTGCCGCTTTCCGACCTCCGGTGCGCACCGGGATCAAGCAACTGGACTCCCCCGTCGTCGAAGGCTTGCACTTTGTCGGCGCCTCCACGAGACCGGGCAACGGCGTCCCCTTGGTCCTCATGGGCGTCAAGGTTGTCGCGGAGCAAATCATGCGCGAGGCCGAGGTCACAGCCCTCGCGCGCTAGATATTGATCGATTGTTATGAAGTTCATTCCGGTGTTAGAGTCTAATTCGAGCGAGTCGACAGTGCCTGAGACGCGACACATTCTTTCAATTCGCGCGCTCGCTGTATAAATTGCCACTAAAATAACCTACAGTACACGGTAGTAAAATCGATGGATTACCGAGCGTCTAGCCGTACAGCGCTTTCGGGTACTTCACGGAATCGACGATGGCTTCAATTTGCGCGCGCCACTTCGATTCCTCGGCGCGCGGGAACTGCGCCGTCGTCGTGTACAGGTGTCCCACGCGTCCGTCGTAACCCAATCCCGCGAGTACGAGAAATACGGAATCAATATCCGCCGCCGGTCGCTCGAACGTGTACTCAACCTTGTAATAATCACCCTTTCCGTACGCGTCCACGAGCTCCGCGCGTTGCACTCGGTCCTCCCGTCCCTTTTTCAATTTCGGTCGATGCAGCGGCGCCACCAACCCCATCCCGAACCCGTACGCGTCACCGAGCGATCCCATCTTTGTGAAATCTGCCCCAGCCGGCGTCGCGACGACGGTGACGTTCACGTCCCGCGTCCGTCCCGGCGGCGAGATCGTCCACACGTCCCGCGCGCCACCCCCCATCGGGTTCTCCGACCTCTCCAGGGACCCCGTGGCGACGACCCAATCGCTCGGATACTCCAGCGTGAACCGCAGCTCGTCGTCCGCGTACGTTCGCAACGATTCGTCCGCGCGCGCGGGCGCGAGCGGGACGACGTTGGCGAGCATCGCGAGCGCGGACGCGCCGAGGACATCGCGTCTCGACGCCTCGGCGTCGCTCGAGCGCGCGGTGGACGCGCGGCGCGGTCGCGACCGCGACGCGGACGCGCGCGCGATCGGCGCTCGACGCGCGGTTCCGGGGCGAAGCGCGAGAGACATGGCGCTTCGAAGAGTGCGGCGCGTGCGCGCGGGTCGTCGTCTCGCGTTCGTTACGTGTCGTTGATACAGATCGAGCGCTCACAGGTCGTCCCCGAGATCGAGCTCGACTTTCGTCCCGACCGCGTCGGTATCCTTGAAAGCGGGTTGGCCGAGATACGGACACCCGGCGCACCGAAACGCGTCGCCGAGGGCGCAGTTACCGCACGCGCTCACGAATGTTTCCTCGCTCTTCGCGTTCGCGCTCTCCTCCGCCGCCTCCGCCTCGGCGCGTCCACACGTGCAGTTCTTACACGCCTTCTTCCCCGCCCCGACGTCACAATCGTCGTACTTCACCGCCGTGGAATTCACGTCGAGCTCGGTGAGCAACGCGCTCTCGTCGATGAGCTCGTCGTCGACGTCCGCGTCCGCGCCCCAGCCCGCGTCCGCGGTCACCACCCGCACCGCGCGCGACTTTAACGAAAACGCCGTCCCACGCGCCCACGCCGGCTTCGTTCCTCGCACCACACCTCGCGTCGCGTCGACGACGACGTCCGCGAATCCCGCGAGCACCGCCGCGTCTCGCGCCGCGTCGCCCCCGCGCGCGATCACCGTCCCACCCGCGCGCAGCGCCGTCCACGCCCGCGCGCACGTCCTCGACGCCATCGCGGCCGTCGCGCCGTCCCCGATGAACCCGTCCGCGGCGCCCGGCGCTCGGACGTCGCGCGCGTACGTCGTCGCGGGCGTCGCGCCGTCATCCAGCGCCGCGGCGCGCTCGTACGCGCGCTCGAGCGCGAGATCGGCGCCGTCGACGCCGTCGAGGTCGACGACGACGACCCGCATCGCTCTCGCGCGTTCGACGACGCGCGCGCGGCGTCGAGCGACGTCGAGGGCGCGTCGGCGGCGCGCGCGACGGTCGGACCCGTCGTCGTTACGATACATAGCTTGTACATAGACCGAGTACGCGCCGTGTGTCCGATGATGTAAAGGTAAACGCGCGCGACGGTCGATGCGTCAACACCATCGCGTCGCGTCGACGTCGGACGCCCGCGCGCGAGCGTGCGCGAGGGACGCGCGCGCGGGTGAATCGCTCGAGCGCGCGTGAGGACGCGTCCGCGACGACGCGCGATGGGGTGGTTCGCGCGCGGCGCCGAGCGCGCGGATGAGGATCCGGCGCTGGGGGCGACGCGACACACGACGCCGGCGGGGCGGTACTCGGTGGCGGTGCGCCTGGTGGAGGCGAAGAACCTGCAGGCGATCACGGCGTTTAATCTCATGCAGACGTTGATGAGCTTTCGGTTGAAGACGCAGACGTCGAGCGCGGATCGGTTGCCGAACGTCGTGGGCAAGGTGCGGTTGGAACGCGCGGGATTCGACGCGCAGAAGCGGAAGACGGTGGTGGAGAAGGAGACGGCGGCGCCGCTGTGGAATCAATTGTTTTATTTTACCGATGTAGAGCTGGCGTCGGATGAGTTAGAGGCGTGTAACGTGGTGGTGAACGTGTGCGATAAGTCGAGAATCGGGAAGGACATGGTGATCGGGAGCGTGGATATCAACCTGGCGCAGGTGTATCTCTCGGACTCGCACGAGATTTGGAACGAGTGGTATTCGTTGACGGATTTTAGTGGGCGGCGAACGGGGAGTCAGGGCGAGTTGTGCCTGTGTGTGACGGTGTTGCACGAGGGTGACGCGCCGCCGTTGCACTTGGATGAAAAATTTAGCGACGACGAGGAAGCAGCGGTGGAAGTCGGCACGTTCGAGACGGAAGAGCAGCGGAAGAAGCGCATCGCTCGCGCGGAGAAGAAAGCACACGAAAAGGCGTTGGCAGAGGCGGCGGAGCTACAGAGAAAGAATATTGTGCCGTATGTTCTCAAGTGTAGCGTGCACAATGGCAGGGAGTTTCCACGCATGGATAGATTCGGTTCGGGAGGGCTCGACGCCTATCTCAAGGTGACGTGTGGATCGGCAAAACCCGCACAGACTCGCGTCATTACGAGTGCCAATCCTAATTGGGATGAGGAGATCGTTCTGCGCCTCATGGTGCCGGGCGGCGCTGACGGATTGGACGCGATGCCACCGCTGCGTCTGAGCGTGATGGACAGAGACCTGACGTCACGAGACGATCACGTCGCCTCGACCGTAATTAGCTTGGCCGATATCGCGTTACGCCCAGTAGCGTACTCTAAGCCGAAGTGGTATTGCTTCTATGGAGGCTTACGAGGGATGGAGATCGCCTTCTTCTCGCGCATGTCGAAATTAGCGAAGAGAATGAATGCGGGATACGTGGACGGAGCGGCTTACAGAGGCCGAGCGTTGATATCGTTTACGTTGGAGCCTGAGAACCGGAAAAATGCATTCGTCCGTGCGAAGAAGAAACTCCCCAGCGTTCTTGACAAGATGGGCAGAGAGTGGCACTGCTTCCTCCACTCACAAGTTTTGTCGGTGGAGCTTTTCCAAACAAACGCGACGGGTAAGATGTTGAACGTCGATGTTGGCATGGGTTTAAGTTCCACATCCTCCCCGAACGTTCTACTGTACGGTGAAGGCGGATCGCTTAGCGGCGAGTGTTACGCGAACGTGCGGTGTACGTTGGCCCCGCTCACGATTAAGATTCCGATGCCATTTGATGGTCCACTCGCTGGCACTGGATCGCCGGATGTTTTCGTGAACGTCAACGTGATGAGCTCGAGCGGAAGTCGACGTGTAGGCTTCTGTCGCATTCCCGTATCACAGCTGATGCCCGTGAACGAATCGCTTCGACCAATGGCAACACCGACCACTGCGGAGTTTCCGTATGGATGGACCGTCCAAGGCTGGTTCACTCTCCGAGCGGACGCGCTTAGCTGTCACAAAATGGGGAAAAGTAGACGCGCAGAGAACGTCAAGCCGATCGGGCAAGTCCTTCTACGCCTTATGATTCGTGGCTCTACGACTGCGAAGAATATGACTGGCGCAGATTACGACATTTCCCTCGATTTCAATGATGCGCAATCGATGGCTTCTGACGTCGCAGATGCCCAAGAGGATAGACGCAAGCAGTTAGAAAAGAAGGCTGAGGTTCGTGGTGCACGTGTTGCGGCGCAAATGGAGCACGAGTTCATCGATCCTCTTCCAACCCGAAAGTTTATGCTTCGCATGCAACTGTTCCAGGCGCGCGATTTACCAGCTGCTGACGCCCATGGATCTAGCGACCCATTTGCCGTGCTGCGAGTCGGCCGTAGCATCGCGGAGACGCAGGTCGTTAAGTCGACAACGTCACCATCCTGGTTCAGAGAACTGTTCGTTGCGGTCGATCTTCCGCTCGTCGTCAAAGACAAGAAACGCATGCCAGACGGCACATTGGTTACCGACGATGAAGAGAGCGACTCAGAGGAAGAGAAGCTCGTGCTCGACGCCACTGGCATAGTGGCCGATCTCGCTTCATCTGACTCGGAGGCTGATCAACCACGATTCAATGCCGATATTGAGATGGGGGCTGCCGCGCCGAAGAAGGCGAAGCAAAAATTTGTTGGGAAAAGTTCCGGCGCCGCCGGACAAGAATTCGAAGGTATCGCTTGGTGGGCTGCTCCATCGTTGAACATCATGGTATTCGACAAAGATGAAGGCTACTTCTTCGGCGATAACGATCCGTTATCTGTGCTTTCATTGCCACTGATTCACCCCGCTCAACTAGAGGCTGAGCGCCGTGGAGACGACAACTTTAGCGTCATGGCCTCCTCAATCCTTTCGTTTTACTCCAAGTTTAGCTTGGAATCGAACTTACCAGATCGCTACGACCAGATTGCAGACTATGAGGTTGGCGCACTGTCGAACGAACCTGAGTGGTATCCGATGCGTCAGCTGAATCCTCAAAAGGGTCTGAGCGTGTCTCCAATCGACGCAGGCGGTTACATACTGATGCACTACGAGCTACTGCCGGCGCCCGTGGAAGGCATCGCAAAGTTTGCGGGCATTTACGACAAGTCATTCAGATCACTCTCAATGATGAAACTGAACTCTGCCGTGAAGCCGCTCGAGGATACGTATGGAATGACCGCCATCGCGGTGGATATCGTGGTGCTCGGGGTGCGGGGACTGACGCCGTACCGAGGGTCCGCGCCGTATCGCCCGTCCGTCGAGTTCGAGCTGAACGGAGTCACGCCGCTGTACTTTGGTTCCACAAGCCACATGGCGCGTTCTAAACCTCAAATGTATCCGACTGGAGCCAACGCGAACATGAAGGGCGAAATACTCACACTGCGAGGTATGCTCACAAAGCTGGCCAAGGTTCGCCTCAGTCTATCGATCCGCGTACTCGATGGGCGAGGAGCGTCGCAGCATATCATTGCGACGAACGAACACCCTCTTAAAATTCGCGATTCCGAAAAGGCTGAGGATGAGGAAGCGTTCGTTAGCAAGCTGAAGAGCATAAAAGTCAAAGAGCTCACCGCGGAGGAGAAACGTGAGAGACAAATGGCGGAGATGTCAGAGACGGTTTCCCATTCAGAGATGACTTTTGGCACGAACACAACCCTATACATGGATGACTCTGAGACGGCAACTTTCGATTACAGCGACGAAGAAATGTCTTCCAACAGCTCATTTGGCGGTTCAGGGGTAGGCACGGCGCAGACGGATAACAAATTCTCGACCATGAAAAGTCTGAATGCGACAAAGAGCATGAAGAGCATGAAGAGCATGAAGAGCATGAAGAGCATGAAGAGCATGAAGAGCATGAAGAGCATGAAGAGCATGAAGAGCATGAAGAGGAGGGGATTCAATGTCGATCCGAATGTGCACCCATCGAGTTTCAAGCTCGTTCGTAAGATGGACGGGAGCCGAGAATATGTTCCGCTCAGGGACGTGACAAAACTGAAAGATCGTCGGACTTTGCCATCTATATTTGAGGGCGAAGAAGACTCTGCTTCAGAATCGTCTGATTCAAACGCAACGGAGCTGAGCGGCGAAGGCACCATTCATTCCTACGTGAGTGTGAGTGAAAGCGAAAGCGACGATCTCTTCGACGACAGGGACAAATCTGGTTCTGATTCAGAGAAAGAAATTGAAGTAGTTGAAGCGTCTGAATCCGAACCTGAAGACGAAGTTGCCATCACTTTCGACGATGGCACTGGGAAAATTCCGGAATGGATGAAAGGAAGAATGATGATCGCTGGTGGTCTACTCGAAGATGAACTTGCCCCTCTCACATTCATGTCTATCCCCGTGTATCACGCCAAGGACTTTGCTGATAATACATCCGAGAAGGAGCTCGCTGGATTCGTAAAGTGTGCGTTGCGAAGTGTCCCTCTCACTGAAGATGTGAGCTTCGTCGCCGAAAATCTCCTCTCGAAAAAGCCGAATAAACGGACGACAATGATGGAGATGCTCAACAAAAAGGCAAAGCAACAGCGGATCGAGAAGAGTCACAGGCGCGAGTTGGCCAGATGGCAACCAGAAGAAGAATTCGCCACGATGTCCAAAGAAGAACTACTTGAGACCCAACGCCTCGCCGGCGGCGGAGACTTAGCCGCTCCACCCACCGAAGTGACGATTCGACTGTACGCAATTCGAGGAAGAGATCTTCGCACTTCGGATCCCTCAGGTTTATGTGATCCGTATCTCGTTGTCAACCTGCGTGGGGTGAAGAAGAGTTACGGAAAGCGTGACGACCATGTGAGGCGCACGCTTTCACCCTGGTTCTACAAGTCTTTCCAAGTCTCCACGGAGGTGCCTGGTAACTCGATCCTTGACGTCCATGTGTGGAATTGGGATAAACGAGGGAAAGACGTCCTGATTGGTACGGTTTCTGTCGACGTTGAGGACAGGTTTTTCTCGCAAATATGGGCGCAAAATCTATCGGATAAGCCTCCTTTGGAAGTAAGACCGATTCTTCTTCCAGATAGCAACGCACCGCAAGGCTATCTCGAAATGTTTGTAGAGATTCACGAGGGCGCGAACCCCCCTGAAATGTTCAATTTGCAACCGCCGCCGGTAATGGAGGCCGAGCTGCGATGCGTCACCTTCAACGCGCGCAAAATGGTGAACAAGGACGTCGGAGGAAAGAACGATCTTTTCTTCAAACTTTCTCTGGTAGGACTCGATCGCACGCAGACTCGTTTCTCTGAAAACCAGGAGACAGACACGCACTGGTTTGCAACGGATGGCCGAGGCAGCTTCAACTTCAGAAACGTGTTCAAGTTGGAACTGCCAGTGTCTCGAGCTGCGCTGCGAATATCGGCGTACGATAGAGACTTGTTCAGTGCGAACGATGCCATCGGAGAGGTGACGATCCCGCTCACTGGGATGTGTCGACAGCTCATGCGTGCTGTGGAGAACTCCCCTGATGGAGAACTGGCAAACGAGGCAACCATCGAGTTCAAATCTTCGTTTGAGGAAACCTATACGAACTTCAATCTCTTCGACGGCGTCGCGGAAGGAAAATGGCTCAAGCTGTATCACCCGAGCAAGCCGCTTGAGTGTCAAGGTGAGGTTGAAATCATGCTGTCTCTGATGCCGCAGCGTAAAGCGGATGCCCGTCCCGTGGGCAGAGGACGTGACGCGCCGAACAGAGACCCGCAACTCAGAGAGCCCGTTCGCGCCAGGCTGAGCCTGATGGATCCGCTCGGGTCTCTCTCGCTGATTTTGGGGCCCGAAATGATGCGCAAGATCGTCGTCGTCGGGTGCTGCCTCATGTTCCTCGCCATGTTTGCTGGTTTAGCCGTGTTCATCATCAACGATTTCGTCGGCGCGTACGTTCAGATCGCCGTTCAAAATCAAGCGAAGAAATTTGGACTCGTGCAAGGCAATTCACCCGCTCCGGCCCCGGTGCCCATCGGACGCCGTTAGAAAATGTTGTAATGTAGTACGCACCGGTACCGCCATCGGTACCGGTACGAGTAGCGAAATAAATAAGTAGCATTGCATCGTATCGATAGTCGTGCGCGGCGATGCTCGCGCTCCACGAAGTCGAGTCGCGAGCGAATCATTTTGTTCTCATGTGGTTAAACGAATTCTGCGTTCGTAATCCCGCCCGCTCGCTCCGCACGCTACCCTCCGTCGCGAGCGTATCGAGCTTCTGCACCAGGGCATCCACCGCGGACGGATCGTATCGAGTGAACCCTCCTGTGATGTGCTTTGAAGCGACGGCGCGGTCAAAGTAAAACTCACCCGGAACCAACTTCTTAGGGTCCTCCGTCAGCAACCAAAGAACCGTGTCGGCTCCCTGCGCGGGCGTCCGCAACTTACCCCGCATTTGCTCGTTGAACCTTGGCAGAGACGTCGCGACGCCGTCTGTCTCGCACCATCCCGGATGCATGGAGTAAAAGCCGACGTACCCGCGTCCCGACTTTTCACCCTCCACGCGCGCCCATCGCTCTGTCATCGCCACCTGATGCCTCTTCCCTCTCGCGTACTGCCGCACTGCGTCAAAGGTTTTATGTTTCCGATACTCTAAATCCGATATGTCCAACGGTTCCGTCAACATCCCCCCCGACGACACCATTATGGGCGTTGTACGTGTGCATACGAACGTCTCTTCAGTCGTGTTGCGGGTCCCTTATTCTGCACGAGTTTTGCATGGTGCGCTGACATTCGATGCCGATAAACTTTTATTTCAGGCTCCTATCGGGCCTTACGGAGAGAAAGTACCAGAAGGCGAGCATATGGTTCGACGGACGTTTGAGATTACGAACACGTTTAGTCAAGACGTGATACTGAGCTCTTGGCGAGTTCCGCAATCGATGGACCGAGCATTTCCAATCAGTGGAATTTCGGATGTGAGGGGTTCGGTCATCAAAGCAGGGGGATCGATAGCGGTGACTTTGGATTTTCAGCCCAGATATTATGGCGCGGCAATGTCTACGACTTTGCGGATACTACACAATAACACGCGCACAGGCACGCGCGTTCCCATAGTCATCTACAGCGGAGAGCTCACAGTTCAGAGTAACGTTGATTTCGGCGTGATGGGCGTTGGACTGAGACGCAAGGTGCACGTCAAGTTCATAAACCACAATCCTATCCCAGTCGAGGTACATACTATGAAAATTACAGGAACGAGGAGTATAACGGGAACGACGTTCTCGTTGCGAGCTGACTCAAAGAGCGAGGTGTACGCTGAGGACGTCTTCGATATTGATAGCTGCATCGAACTTTCAGGTAATGTGTGTACGCAAGTCGTGAAAGGTAGACTTGAACCGGATGGTGTGCTAGAAATAAGGTTGACGGCGGCCCCGTTAGCTGGCGAAAATCTAGGAGACGGAGGTGCTGAACTCAGTCTAGCGACGAGCCTTGGCGTCGTGACGACGACACAGTTAAACTTAGTGGCTACGAATGGTAAGGTGTTCAGTGAAGATCAAGATATCCAAATAGAATTGCCAATCACAGAATTATACGGCAAAAAGGGCGGAACAATCAGGCGTGAAGTTACGGTGCACAGCACTCACGAAGTGCCAGTCTCGGTGTCGGGCTTTCTTGAGACAGAGTCAGAGATTTTGGAGTTTGAGAGCGCCTTGGAAATCTCGGTACCGGCGGAGAAATCTGCATCGATCGGCGAGATCTTGTTCAGTACTAATCGACAAGCTAATGAGCTAGCCAGCTTTGCGAATTCCGACGCAGATGAGCTGGAAGCGTCATTGTCCAAATTTGACGTTAATAGGTTGGAGAAGCTACAAAGATCAATGAATCGCCTAGCAGAAGACGGCGCTTTAATGGCGTTAGGGAGGCTCGTGTTCTCATCTGAAGCGCAAAATGGACATCAGACGGTTAATATTCAAGCACAGTTGACGTATCCCAGATTTTTGGAAATTCAATCCAAGAAGATGGACCATGTCGCCAACTCGGAGCACATCACGGTGATATCCAAAGATACTGCGAATACAATCAGCGTCACAAACTTGTCAAAAATGCGCACACTGTGCTTTCGCGTGCTTCCACTTTTAGCACATTCGGTGCGTACCACGCGCTGGAGCGAACAGAAGGCGGTGAAACGTGACGAGACGCTCTTGCAAACAAACATCAAAGCAGCCCGTGCTTACGCAAGCGTGGACGAAGAGAACCTTCGCGAGACGCCGAGTCATCCTGGCTTTGTGTCCAAGTACCTCGTTGATCGCAAGGGAGCGTGTCTCAGGCCTGAGGAAAAACAGGACATTCTCACGATTGTATTCGATCCACGCTTACGAATGAGAACTTACACCGCTTCGGTGTGCATCAAGAACACTGAAACGTTTATTGAGTGTGTGGAGCTGATGGGCTACTCAAGCACCTCAGTTGTCGAGACTGGAACGAGAACGGAAACACAAATTTACGTTCGTGTAGCCGTGGCGATTGGATGTGTTGCGGTCGTCTACTTGACGGCATCGCGCAGAGATTCATGGTTAGAATCCCCCTCTGCGTCTCCTCATGGATTTGATCACAACACGAGTTTCAGTAACCCCATAACGCACGCGAGTCCATCGAAGAAGGCGCAAAAGTCCAATGTAAAGGTTGTATCTCCGCCGAGCTCACAGGACTCATCGGATTCAGAGATGGGGGCTCCTCCAGAGGTGAGAATGTTGAGTGCGGAATCACCGGCGCGCCAGAGTGATGATTCCGCATTGATGGAGCACCGCCATGTCGAGACAGTCGTAAAGTTAGATCGAACACGAAAGAAAGTGGAGCAACTTGGTGTCAATACGGATAAGCGCGAGGCGGTCCGTCGCGGGGGGCGCCCAGAACGGATGTCAAAACACGAAAAAGAGGTGCGGTTGCAGAAGGCACGCCAAGCTAAGGACGAAGAACGTGAAGCCGACACCAAACCGGAGCACCCACCTGGACCAGCGCTAGATGCAGGCGCTGTGGTGCTGGCACCGACTGAGCCCTCACGGGTGCAAGTGCATCCACCCCGCTCCGTGATGCGTCAACACACTTTGTCGACCGTCTCGTCTGAAAAACCTCACGAAGTAAACGAAGACCAATACGGAACTCCAGAAGCGCTTTTTGACATGTACAACAACATGTTTGCAGAGGTTTTGCCTGCTCACCCACCGTCGCGTCAGACGGCCTCGATGTTTCGTGCGCAAGCGAGTGCGCCAGAGTACGTCTCACCGCCCAACAGTGTGCGATCGTTCGCCACTCCACCGGGCAGTGTGGCCGACTATGACATGTTTACTGCGCCGGCTCCGGCTGGAACCACTGGTTTGCACATGGGGAACCTCTTCAGTTTCCGAGGCGGTGAAGCGGCGCCGGCCGACACATCGCTTCGTTCGCAACAATCTACTTCTCCCGGCATGCTGTCTCCAGCGGATTCGATGGGTCGATCGGGCTGGAGAACGATGCTTTCGGAGTGGGAGGAGAGGCAAGACCGTGAAGTAGATCAGAGTCGCCACAACCGAAGTCAAAACCATAGCAACGACTCGTTTTCGCAGTAATTTATTAATCAAAGCTATCATCTAGATCTAACTCTTGCAGTGTGTACTTCCACAGTCTCTCCGTTGCTTCCTCATCGAGCGCATACTTGCTAGGCGGGTTTTCGACGCACTCAGATGTTAAATAGGGTCCGTTTGTGTCGCTGGATACTGCCTCCTGTTGAGTTGCACAATACAACGATGCGCGTGCACCCTGATCCGGAGTCAGAAGGATATGGCTCATGATGATCCGGTACAGAAACTGAATGATCCAAGGCAGAGTGCGAACGACACCGGTGACGATGTTACCTGGATGAAGCACCAGCGCCCGCGTCCCCGGCGCGTGCACCCGTAGACGCTTGTCGAGCGCTCGCACGAACATCACTTCTGCGAGCTTGCTCGATCCGTATGCCGCAGCCGCCGCGTACGGGCGCTTATTGAAGTCCATGTCGTCCAAAACTAAGCCAGTGCTGAGCTCATGAAGCTTACTGCTAACAAAGACGACCCTTGCGTCGCCCGTTTTCGCCCCAGTCGAACGCAGCACGTCCAAGAGCGACATCGTCAACAGTGCCGGCGCCAGGAAATTCGCCTGCAAGTGCTGCTCTCGCCCGTCTCGCGTCTTCACGTATGACCCCGACATATCGAAGATCCCTGCGTTATTGATCAGCACGTCCAATCGCCCCTCGCTCCGCACGAACTCCTTAGCAAACTCTCGGACGCTCTCCAGAGAGTCCAAGTCCAACTGCATCACTCGACAGTTCGGTCGTTCCGTCCGCAGCGCCTCCGACTCCGTGATCCACTGCGCGAGGAGGTCTTCACCCTTCTTAACGGTTCGACAGGCCAAGATGACCCGAGCGCCGCGCTTCGCGAGCGCGTGAGCCGTGGTGACGCCGATCCCGCTCGTCGGTCCGGTGACCACGAACGTTTTGCCTCGCACGCTCACGTCAACGATGTCGATCGCGCGGTGCGGAAGACGTCGGCAGTTCCATCGCTGGAGCAAGACGTCTCGAAGGACGTCGAGCTGGCGCAGGAGACGATCAAGCATGTCGAGACGAGGCGGCCTGTGACGCGCGGCGCCGCGTCGGTTGGAAGGTGACGGATGATATTAAAACAAAATCTCTGTGTCTCGCGGGCGGTTAGACGGCCATCTTCATCTCGATCTTGGGATGAGGATCGTATCCAATGATCTCGAAGTCGTCGAAGGTGAAGGAATCGATATCCTTTTTCTCCGGGTTGATCTTCAAAATTGGGAACGGCCGCGGCTCGCATGTGAGTTGCTTCTTCAGCGGTTCGACATGGTTTGAGTACACGTGCGTGTCTCCACAAACGTGGACGAAATCGCCAGGCTTGAGGTCGCACACTTGCGCGATCATGCAGGTGAGCAGGGAGTACGACGCGATGTTGAACGGGACGCCGAGACCCATGTCGCACGAGCGCTGGTACATTTGGCAGCTCAATTCGCCGTTGGCGACGTAGAACTGGCAGAACATGTGGCACGGCGGCAGAGCCATTTCCTTTAGCGCTGCCGGATTCCATGCTGTAAGTAAGATGCGACGATCGGTCGGATTATTCTTGATCTTGTTGATAACCTCGGCCAATTGATCAACGCCCTTGCCCGTGTAGTCGGCGTGCATGTTCGTGTATTCGGCGCCAAAGTGTCTCCATTGGAAACCGTAAACGGGGCCGAGATCACCCACCTCGCGCTCGGTCAACCCGATGGAGTCCAAATACTCTCGGCTTCCGTTGCCGTCCCAGATGTTGATCTTCTTCTCTGCCAACTTGTTCGCATTGGTCTCGCCCGCCACGAACCATAACAGCTCCTCGGCGACGCCTCGCCAGAAAACACGCTTGGTCGTCAAGAGCGGGAACGAGCGACGCAGATCGAATCGCATCTGGTTGCCGAAGGTAGAAATCGTACCTGTACCGGTGCGATCTCCCTTCACCGCTCCTTGGTCGATGATTTCTCTAATCATGTCCAAGTATTGATGCTCCTCGTGCTTCACGTCGCAACCCGCCGGGAGGAGCTCGCCCGCGATGGGGCGGAACTTGCCACTCTCCGAATCCTTGGTGACGTACGTCAAAAACTGGTATCGTGCGCCGTTCTCCGTGATCGGTTTGGACTGGCCGTAGAGCTTGAACTTGTCGGCGTCGATTTTCGGGATGAAAACGTCGCACTCAAAGTCGCCCTCCACCTCGGTCAAGTGCACCGCCTCGCATCGCTCGCTCTTGAGCGCTTCCTCGTAAATCTGCGCGCCACCAATGACGAACGTCTTCTCCACCCGCTTCTCGCTCGAAGAGATGGCGCTCAACGCGTCGTCAATCGTCTTCCGGACGAGCACGCCCTCCGGCAGCGTCTCCGCTCCGTTATTGTTCTCGTCGTTCGCCTCCGCGAGCACCCCGCTCCGACTCAGCACGACGTTCAACCGTCCCGGTAGCGGCCTAAATTTCGCCGGAATCGACTCCCACGTCTTCCGTCCCATGACCACGGCGTTCACCGCGTTCGCGTCTCGCGTCTCGCTCGTCAACTTTTTAAAATGCCCCATGTCCTTCGTCAGCTTCCACGGCAGACCGTTATCCTTCCCGATCCCCCCATCCACCGTCGCCGCGACGACGACTTGAAACGCACGCATCTCCATCCCTCCTCTCGAGCGCTTCGCCTCCCCGATCGCGCGCGCCGACGCGCACCGTACTTTGCGCGTCGCGCTGCCTCCACCCCCGGTCGACGATCGTCCTCCCGCGCGCGCGAACGCCCCGAGCGCGTCGATCCCGCGCGCGAGACCCCACGCGAGACGACGCGCGGACGACGTCGCGCGTCCCGGCGTCGAGGTCGACGTCGGTACCGCGTCGCCGTCGAGCTCTGCGGGGGCGGATTTCAAAATCAGACCGCGAGACGCGTCTGGCGTCACACGCGGACCTTTTTGTGGCCCGCGAGACGCGCCTGGCGTCACACGCGGACCTTTTTGTGGCC